TGCGCGAGTCGAACGGAAATGATCGTTAATCGAGGATCGCGGGATCGCGCGGCGCAAAAACGTGCGAAAGATTGGCGCGAGTCGTGACTCACCTTCGGATGAAGCGAGCAGAGTTAACGATACACACCGGTCTGTTTTTCTCTTGTCGAAGCAAACGTGTTAATGCGTCCCTGACAACGGTAAATGCGCGTACAGGTACGCGATATCGTGTAGGTGCATCACGCACGATGGACCGCGACGCTAAAACACGCTCGTCCCTAATTACGCTCGTACATGTGAGTTACAAACAAGTCATATGCCGACCGTTCTTGTTCTCCGTCTATCGCGATTACGTCCGTTCGAGCATTGAGTAATCAATACATCGTGCGTCTCGAATCGCGAGAGAGGAACGACAATTCGAAGCGAGGCCTCGTTTAATTCAACCGAGTATTCTTCTTAGAAAACGATCGTCACCTCCGTGGAAGAACGTTCCAAATGAAGGAGGAAAAACTCGTTCGAAGATAATCGGTTTTCGCGACGCGCTGCCCTTCGCGCGACGATCTTTCCGATAGCTGTATCGGGGCTAATCTGTACTAGCGATCGAACAGTGCCAAAAATTGTCTAGATCGGTTGACTGACTCATCGTGGCCGTGTAGAAGAGGATTCGACGCGCGTCCCGCTAGTCATCCCGGGTATTTGGGGATGCTGGGTGGCTCAGGTGGTTGCGTGGCGGCTCGAAATAGAGGCAGTCGCCCGCGCAAAATCGCGTCGAGTCGCGCCGCGAATAGTTCGCGCCCACCGCCTTCTCGAGAGCCGTCGGTAATTTTAGAACGTTTTGTTTTCGTGCCAGAATGCCGCGGCGTGCGTTCCGCGTCGCGCGTTCTGCGTTGCACGTACACGCGTCGCGGGCGCGTGCTTCCCCTCTTCGCGAAATGCAAATTTTATTTTACATACCTCAAGCGAAAACTTCATCATTTGGAAATACCTAAATTGGGAAATTCCTTATTTATGAGTATCTGAACTACAGATTTTGATTTGAAGGGTATCTAAATTGCAAATTTCTTTTTATAATTCAAAGAAAATTTAAATTGAAAAATAATAATAAGAGGATAATACCCGTTTCATTTTGTCAAAACCTTGAAATTTCTTCTCCTCGATGTGTATTTTTGCAGAATTTCGAAAACAACGAGCTATGGTTCGTCCAAAATACCCGTTTTGCTTCGTTTTACTTGGCTCGAAACATCGCGTTGGATAAAACTATTTGGCTTTTCGTGCGGTTGAAAATTTCGAGAGAACCGCATTGGCGTGACGAAGCGATCGCGAATCGGCCGCGTTAACGTAATATTTAAAACGCGCTCCTAGTCGCGCGAGCGGCTTTTGATAAAGTTATATATGGCACTGACTCATTATAATATCGCGCAACCTGTCCGCTTGGCTATTCAGTCGACAATTTAGAACGCGCTGTTTTAAAGAAAACCAATCTCGCGTTAATGTCACCGAAAACCTTGCAAACTCATATCTCAATTAATTCATTGCTCCAATACCAAATATGTTTCTTCCTTCCATCTCTCTCTCTCTCTCTACAAAAACTGTAGTCTAACTTTTACAAATTGCTCATAAATGAATTGAATCGTCTAAACTTTTGACGCATCCTTCACGAGTGAACGTACGTTGTCCGATAAAACGCTCTTCCGTTGTATGAAATCGCTTCCGTTTACGCGACACATTTGGTGCGCGCTTGTTCCGCGAACTCGTCTCGTAAAATCTCCGGGTCGAATCGAGGAGAGTAGGAAATCGTGAGGAAGGGTATCAGGGACGAAGGGGAATGCGAATTCGTGTTGGAGAGAAATCGTAAAGGGTAGGAGAAAACGAAACGGAACGAAACGCGAGGGAAGGAGCAGGGAATGAAGTTGAAACACCGGAGTGATAGCCAAATCGAGAAACACGGACACGCTCGTTTTACGCCGATCTCCTGCCTCCTACGGTGCGTGTCTTTCAGTGCCGGGGATTTGCAGTGGTAAATCCAATGGCCTTTTTTAGTCACCGCATTTTATTCGATTCCACGACAAGTTGATTTGATAAAAAAAAAAAAAAAAGGAAATTCCTCCTAAAAGTCATTTAATTAAAGAAATTTACATGATTTCCTTTGAACGCTGTCGCGTGTTCGTTTTAAATCATCGAGACGAGAGGACCAAAAGGGGAAAAGCGAAAGAAACAACGAGGAAATGAACGAAAGGAAAAAGGAAAAGAGAAGCGGAGAATGGAAGAGAGGCGTGCGGAGATGTAGAAAAGAAGGAGCGGGAAGGAAAGGGATATAGTTAGAGAACGTGAAAGGGAAAGAGAGGGAGAATGGTCGCGTGGCCGTACGTGGCCCCAAATAGGGCATCAGGTGGTTGCACGACGCCCGCGAGAAAAAGATCGTTTGCGCGTGCGCAGAAGCGCGTGTACCTCGGAACCGGGCGTACGCACGCATGTACGCGCGTACCAGAGCGGCACGCGCGCGTTCTTACAGGTGGTGGCAACGGCTGCACAGGAAATTGCTCCTTTGCCTTGATAACTTTCGGCCCGGAACTTGTACGCCACCGCCGTTCACCCGTATTATTTGCCGAATCGCATTCAAAGAGATTCAGACACGCGCGTCGAGGACAATCTTTCACCTGTTGCATCTCTTTTCGAAACTTATTGTTTTCTAGTTCCTTTCAAACGCTATTTTACGCGAATACGTCGCAATTTACTAAGAGAAATTTAAGATCGATCGCCGCTAATTAAAAGTCAGGAGTACAGTTCAACCATATGTCAGACATTGGAACGAATCAGAGTTTCAATGATCGTTTCAAGGAAATCTTGTAACACGTGCTTTGAGATCTAATCGATGCTAATGACGTGGCGTTAAATTAACCCTCGAACGAGAAAGAAGCGAGGAGAAACATCATCCCCGAGCGTACGCGGTTCAATCGATAAACTGTTCGCGAAGAAGGGACACTGACGGTAGCCGCAAGCTCTCGAACATTAAACCGACGCCTGTCAACCAAGAGTGGCGTCCGTACGCCGGCGCCGTTAGTCGTCAGCGAGCTTACGCAAACAGAAGAGCAGGAGGGTGGTGAGAACATACCTCCCGCATACGTTGAATTATCCACCAGAGATCGGAATGTTCGATGATAGACTACGACGTAAGAACACTTTCATCCCTGTTCGTTTCCAACCCTCCTCGGTATTATTATCTTTCATTATCTACATTAGTTAATGGTAGAACCGTTCTTATTGTGGATGCAATAATAACAATGCTAGATGCATCTCGCGAAAAAATGAAACGCGCTTCGAAACGTTTCTCGCCGCAAAGGGGAAGAGGCGCTTTCGCGCGCCCGGCTCGTCTACGTCACAGCGGTCTACGTCACTGGAGAACCGAGTCGTGTCGTTCGTCGAGAGGGGGGAGGGGAAGTATCGTGGTACGGAGCGGAGGGAGTGTAGGGGAAGATAGGAGCGCGCGAAGGGCGTCGTGGTGGGGCGAGTGGCGATGCCAGCAAGTAGTGGCGGGCAGCGACGACGTGTTGGTCGGGCAGAGTGGGGGCTGTTGGCGCGTGTGTACGTCCACACACACGCGTCGGACTATATACGCGTGACGCATACAAGCGCGCGTTGATAGGGGACCTCAGAGCGGGGATTGGCTGGCGGTCGACTCGCCGCTTCCAAATATGGGACAGTCTCCGCGGTCCATTCATAAAACTACGGGGCGCGCCGCCGCTCGGCTCAGTTCGTGCGCGACCCCCACGCATCGCGCGTCCTCCGACGATCCCGAACGCGCGATCCGCTGCGCTGCCTCCGAACACGCACCGCCTAACCACGAAGAGGTACGTACCTTCGACGCACGATAAAACTCGAACCAGACACGATAGACAGAGAGGGAGAAAAAGGAAGGAGGAGAATAGAAAAAGACAGAGAAGCAGAGAAGGATAAATAGGCGCGCGGTCGCGCGCGCCTGCACCTACGCGACTGTACACGCGCGCGAGATCATCGTCGCGGACGGGATTTGCGAGTGAAGGAAGCGTCTCGGTATTTCGAAAAGTCTCGAGCTCGTAGAGAACCATCGATTTCGACGGTCGAAGGACGGTATACATAGACGGATTCCACGTTTCATCCCTTGATACCGGCTCGACCGATTCACGGTTAGCCGCGCGTTCTCGGTTGTCCTTTGGCGCGCGCACGAGGCGAACGAACGCCAGTCTCCTGTGGTCAGACCGGCCGACCGTTCCGGATCGGGACGACGATCGCTCGCGATCCGGTGAGATTGGATTTTCAGAGTCCGCGTACACTTGGGTGGTGGTGGTGGTGGTGGTGGTGGTCGTGGTGGTGGTAGTAGTGCTTTGTGGTTGGTGGTGGTTGTGCGCGCGGTGGTGTATATCCAGCCGCAACAGATCGCAGGCGCGCGCGGTCGCGGGAGAAAAAGAGAGAGAGAGAGTAAGAGGGAGAGATTGAGAAAGAGCGAGAGGGTGGGAGGGAGAGAGAGTGGGATCGGAGAGAGGAGCAAGAGAGAGGGAAAGAAAAGGAAGGACGGTGAGGCGAGCGATCGAGACACGGTTTTTGCCGCCCGGCGTCCGCTCCCTCGTGTGTAAGTACCTCGCTGAAAGAGAGACTCGGCGCGTGCCGCGCGACGGATAAAAAAGGGGGAGCGCGTGCTACGTCCGCTTGACTACTAACCCAGTGACTTCGAGCTAGAGGGAAGGAGAGACTGATACGACCGATCTCTACGGACTTGACGTTCCGATCTCGTGCTCGTGCTCGTGCTCGTACTCGTGCGGTCCAAGTGCAGTCCGGTTTAACCGGCGCCGCCGCTGAACGAAAGAAAACGAAACGGAACACGATAGACCGAAGACTGAAAGACGGGAAAAGGCTAACTAGCGTGTAGAGCTTACATACATACGATATATACCGGTGGGAGAGAGAAAGAGGCTTAACTGTGTCGGGGCGACCGAGGAAGGACAACATTTTAACCATAATAATAGCGTTGAACGATACAACCGCAGGCGAGGACACGCAGTGCGGTACCGAGGAGGTTGCCGCTGCTAGCCAAGCAGGCGACCCGCTCCAGAGGATGACGATGGACGGCATGGAAGTGGTGGGCACGCAGCCCCACGCGGCCAGCCCGTTTATGCTCTCGCCGCCACCCCTCGGACATCATCATCATCACCATCATCATGCTACCTTCAATCTGCAGACGGTGCAGCTCAGCTTCGACGCCTGTTTACCTTACAACACGGCTACCTCGTCGAATTCGATCGTTTGCGGAATTGGCGGTACCTCGACGCCGCCTGTCACCACCTGTACCCCGTCAACCAGCTGTAACAAGACGATACCTACCCTATCGTTGGCCCCCTGCGTACCTCTTCAACCGCAGCAGCAAAATAATACCGATTCTTCGGACCACCATGTCCGACAACATCATCATCACCATCATCATCAACAACTCGAGGACCATCAGCATCATCGACACGTTGATGCTTCCTCGCCGTCGAGCGACTCGACCGATGGAAAACGACGATTGCAGTCCGTCAACGAGGAGAAGGACCTGTCCAGGGATTGCAGAGACGATCTCCAGGAGCCTAACGAGAAGGATAAACCAGGTGACCTAAACACGCCGGTTACCACCAGCAGCGATTTACCGTCCTTCTTCGGCCCCTCCGCGCTCGTCGAGCCACCTCCTATTTCAGGTACCTACAATCAACAGTCCTTTAAATTGTTCTTCGATCGGCCAGGAATAAGCTATTGTTGTTTTGTTTGTTGCTAGTCGTTCATTTTTATTGTATATACACAGATCGTGCGATATTCGTAGCGTCCTCGTCGTCATCGTCGTCATCGCGTCGAAATAAACGCTTCCCGAACGATGCTCAGAGTAGTAGTATCAGCTGATTCGAACTCCAGCGACCTTGCACTTGCTGTGTTTCACGAACATCCCAAACTTTCGCTTTCTGCATATCTGCCAACTCTTGCTGCTGCTGCTACCCTCGTGGCTGCGCCGTGCACCCCTCCGAAAATGCAACTTTCCCGCAGCCGGGTTGTTCGTATAGGTACACCGTTTGGCTGGCGGGCAAGTTGCCTGTCGCGACAAAGTGCATGAGGTGCCGGTGACGTATATCGGTTGGCTCGCGAAAACGGCTAATATCGAACCTGCCCGTCTGTCGTGGATCAATACTCCGCGACCCCGACATTCAGAAACCCTCCTCTGCGTCCCTGCATCACCGCTACCTCCACCTCCTCCACCTCCGCCTCCCACCACCCCCTTGCCGGTTCATTCATACTTCCAACTGTCCCCACCTCGTACATCCGAAGCGATATACAACCACCCTCCGCCACCGCTGATAATCGTCTTCTCTTCCGCGACTTTCTCGCAATACCAACGTTCGCGCCTCCTCATCCCCTCTCTGTCTCGTTTCCGCCTATTTTACCGCGGTCTATCGTCTGCGAACCATCTGACTTTGTTGTTCTTTTAAGAAAGAGAAAACTTTACTCGTAGAAATCTATCGTAGATAGAGCAGATGCCCATTAATCCTGTGCCCAAATCGATCTTCGGCTAAGCTTTCTTTGCACCCGTTTGAGCATATCCCTCGAATGACTTCGCGTTTCTCTTCCTTCTGGAAGTCTACCGACACTTGTTTTTCGGTAGGAAGTAACGATTGTGTACGTAGGAAGGAAGTAACGAGACGGCAGGATGCAGACAACAGATAGAGCCAGCCGGTATGCTCTCGGCTAGCAGATAAAGTCATCCTCGTATCGCACGGTCCTTCCTGTCGATTTGCTTACATCGCGACGATGCACACGTGCACTCGCGCGAGTTCAGAGGCCGCGCGCGTGCAGTCGCGAACGCGAACGCGACGCGATCAGATTCGAGACTGATTGTGAACCTGATGGATGATTTGTAGGCAGCCTGGCGGATCAGGACCTATCCCTGGAAGAGGCGACAGCGGAGGACGACGAGACGGCGACCTCAGCCAGCAGGGATCATCGACACCACCATCACCAAGAGTCGCATGACACCGGTACGCCTGGCGCACCTCCATCCACTAGTCCACCCCGTCATCATCAAGCTCAAGAGGACGCGGATCGTTGCAACGTCTTGCAAGGCGGTGTCATTCTTTACTCTTCCCCTCATTCCACGTCCTCGGTCTCCTCGGCGCCCGCCTCCAGCGTCAACATCTGCAACGCGTCAACGTTAACCTATCGAGGAGTCTTCACCACCACCTGTACCCAGTCTTCGCCCCTGAACACTCTGCAGAATCAACAACAGCAGCAGCAGCAACAACAACCGACCAGCCAAGAGCTCTGGGGTCCTTTACCCTCTCCGACCTTGACCTTGACGGGTCAAACGTTTCTTCACCCCACCCTGCACGCGGCTCCGTACGGCAGCGAGACCGTCGAACTTTTGCCGGTCGAGTCGAAGCCACCCCCGCCACCAGGTTACCATGACACGCCAACCACCACCCCGGCACCATGGTTGACGGCGCACGAGGAGGCTTACGACCCGAATCTCCTGTCCCACCACCACCCCCATCATCACCATCAAGAGACCACGTTGAAACAAGAACCTACCGGAGCGAGCGGATACGGGCCAGCGGTTCAACAACAGCAGCAGCAGCAACAGCAACAACAACCTCAACCGAATCAACAGCAGCAACAGCAGCAACCACCCTCGTCGGCCGGTACGACCGGCGTGCAACTGGCGGAATACAACCCCAGCACGTCCAAGGGCCACGAGATTCTATCTCAGGTTTACCAGCACAGCACTCTACCGCTCAGGTTGGTCCCGGTAAAACCACGAAAGTATCCGAATCGACCGAGCAAAACGCCGGTGCACGAGCGACCGTACGCTTGCCCCGTGGACGGCTGCGACCGCAGGTTCTCCCGCAGCGACGAGCTGACCCGGCACATTCGCATACACACCGGTCAAAAGCCGTTCCAGTGCCGTATCTGCATGCGTTCCTTCTCCAGGAGCGACCATCTAACCACTCACGTGAGAACGCACACCGGCGAGAAGCCGTTCTGTTGCGATCAATGCGGCCGCAAGTTCGCGAGAAGCGATGAAAAGAAACGGCACGCTAAGGTTCATTTGAAACAGAGGCTGAAGCGCGAGGCGACCCACGCCTCCGCCAGAAATCACCCGCAGAGCCACGCTTCGCCGCCTTGTAATCAGTAAAGGAAGAAAGAAAAGGTCTGCTCTACTCTCGTCAACGAGCATTCCTTCTATTTTGTTTAATTCTCTACTTGCCAGGCGACGAGGAAACGACGGAGACCTTTAGGCGGAACACACAGACTGCCGTCACCGACTGATCCGTCATCGATCGTCGTCGGCTCGCCAGCTGTCCAACGAGCGTGGCCGAGAAATGAAGAGAAACAGAGAGATCGAAGGGATTGGCCCTACGTATCCGACGGCATTTTCGACGGTGTAACGACGCGTGATACCGATTTTTCGGACCGTAGTACGTAAGAATCGCGCAAGGGGTTTTCATAAAATCCTTGTACATACGTGGACAATTTTTATTTTTCAAATTTCAGTGAAATTCCGTATCCCTGGCACCGCGTCGCTTGAACCGCGACAGGCTGTGACTAGACGCGTGGAAACGAATCGATCGAATCTTCTCTCCTGATCTCTGTTCTTTACCGAGAGGACGATTGAGAGAACCCGAGATTGCAGTATATCGGATATGTGTATTCAGACGAATCATGTTCACGCATTTTTATTTTTATTTTTATTTTTTCTTTCTTTCTTCTCCTTTAAGCTCTTCTCGTTTCCATCTTTTGCCTGCGGTGGAAGGTGCTGCGTGGAAGAAGCAGTCGCTAGTTGCATTTAGCTCGCAGAAATGAATGGTAGCGAAAATTCTAGCCTTACCAGGTACTGTTAGCTTGTTTATCTCGTCGACGGTCAGTATCAGTCCCCGAACGCGATGTTCCATATGGGAGAAAGAGAAAAAGAGAAGGTGCGAGAGAGAGAGAGAGATAGTTAGAAAGAATATTCGAAACGAGCAACGCGTTGGGGATCGTTATTTACGGCGGTCGCGTTTTATACCCTTGTTTTGCGATCGAGAACGAAGATGCAGATGCGAAAATCGGCGTTAACCGCGCGTAGATATACGTACACGAAATATTCCCCGGTGTCACGAAATATACTGCAAGCACGTTCTCGAACTGAACGACGTAGAATCGATACCGCCCGCAGCTTCCGGGTATCAGGGGAGGAATTCATTGAAGGAGAAAAAAGAAACGCGTTTCATTCTCAATCGTATGCAAACAAGCGCTTTAAGGGAAAAAATGGTGGCGTGCTCTTCTTAAAACGATCAGGGATCGCGGATCGAGCCTCTTAGTAGTCTCTCGTGATCGAAACCGGTCAATGATTTCCGACATTTTCCATCCGAGCGTTCGTTCTTTCTTCGGCGAAGAACCATGAATCGATTCAATAAACTCTCTGGAGAAAAATATTTTCTAAAATGGTATTTTTATAAACTCGCTCGGGGATGATAAAAATCGAAGGCCGTATTATCAATATAAGTTCGATGATCGATGAAAGAACGAAACACGCGCCCTGATCTCGTTGCAAGAAGCGGTTAAGGATAGCCGGACAACCGGCAAACACATTCTTGCGTCCTCGAACCTCGTGTCTTTCAATCATACGAACAAAAACAATCGCTTCTTTATCATCGTCCTCTACCTCTCGAACGCGATCACTCGTTCCTACATCCTTCCTGATCCGAACTTGTTGAATCTCCGACTTATCCCTAGTCCCTATTCCTACGTTTCCTCGGTTATTCAAAAATCAAGCCCGATTTCTTTCATCGTCCAACGAGTAAATTGTAATTAGTCGTGATCATTGTTGTTGAAGCGGAGTTTCCTTTTGTAAATATGTATATAAACGTGTTATACATATGTATACATAGGCTATGTCTAATCGAACGAGTAGAGGCATTGAAAGTGAGAAAGAGAGAAAGATGGAGAACCCCGTAAAATCTTTCACTTTCCTCCTTTTAATCTTGCCGCCCTACTTTCCCCTCTCCTTTCCTCTCCGCCCGTCCCTCCTCACCATCGCGATCGTTTTACGTGTATAAATATGAGTTTAGCGACGATTAATATTATGTATATGTTGCTCTATTTATTAACAAAAATCTCTATATATACATATATATATAAAAGAGGATATATATATATTGTTAAAATTAAAGGATTATTTTTATTATGATTATATTCTAATTAATATTAATAACGATTATATAATAATTATTAAACGCGCGCAAAGCGTAGCTGCGGATCCAGACGTTCTAAATGCGCTCTGTACCTACGGACGATAGTTGCACCGACGTGTGCGCGATATTATCCTCTATTGTTCTAGATAGGTCGGAAAATATGTAGGCAGAGGAGCATGTACGCGCACGCGCTTTTCCGTGGAATAAAAATGTCGAGAGAGAGAAAGAAAGAAAGAAAGTGATTACGTATGGATGTGTATATGTGTGTATGTCTGAGAGAGAACGACAAAGAGAAAAGGATAGAGTGAAAAAAATGAAATAACGAAGAAAGAGGAATTAGAGAGGACAGTTTTTTTACAAATGATATTACTCTATAGTTGGATAAATTATGTGTAACTATTATACATACGGTGCTCCAAGTGCTATGCACAGAAAAAGAATCTCTCAACTACCTGTATATTTGTGTTGTAATCATCGTTGCCGTTTAATCTGGCCGATTCCCTACGACGATTATTAACAAAAATACAACGTTAACATTGAACAGTAATATCCTCGTGATTTTCATTCCGCTACTTCCTCCTTCGATAGAGAATACTCTATCGAGAACGATAGATCGACTGTTCGTTCGCGTCGCCTCGTGGTGCGAAGTGTTTTACTCGATCGTTTTATCACCTTTAGAGTTAGACCTCGAGTTAAAGCTGAAAGCATATTCCTTCTCCGTTATTCCGAACTCTGATAGTTCGATAAAAGTGTACATACACTGAGTTGCATTGAACTTGTCGCAGTGAAGTTGGCTACAAATTCACTACACATTCATTGTGATAGCGTTACTGAATTTGTAGCCAACTTCACTGCGACAAGTTCAATGCAACTTAGCGTTGATAGACGTTTTATTTCGTACGCGATCCATACGATATAACCTATAAATCCTTCGAATTACAAATTTACAAAAATGTTCGAGTAACGCAACGATGTTGTTTCGGTTAAAAGACCGAGTGTCTCGTTTATTCTTTTCATTTTTTAAGATTCAACGTCAGACACCGTTCATCGAGCACAGACATCTTTATCGATCATCGACAATTACCGAATAGGGTATCGATGATCTTTGATCCAGCGATACATCGAACCGCGTCCTACGCGACCAACGAAACTATTGTTCCTTTCAGACGCGTGTTTTAAAAGCCAGCCAAGAAGATTAATAAGGACCGGTCCAGTGCACCGAGAGTCGCCACTCTCGATGCAACACGGTGCGTCGCGTCGTTTTCTATGCAACCTTTCACCGTAAACACGCGGTCGGCGCCTAAACACAGCCACGATCGGTCTTTCCGACCGCATTTATCTCGATTTTTCCAATATCAAGATACGAATCGCGAACAACCTACAATTAGTATCGATCGCGCGTGCCGGGATTCTTTATTCCCCATCTTCGATTACCAACGAATTCCATTCTATTGTCGATAGTTCGCTACGATTCGGACAATAATCGAAACCAATTTAACTCACGCTCGATTCCTTATTCGATCGCATCGAACGACGTAACCATGGGAAAAAAAAACTGCCGCGCATGCTACTTTTCCAACACGATAATACGTTTAAAAGTGAAATTAATCGAGGTACGTAACGAGAAAGTAATACGGACGAACGAAACTTGGTGTTCCACCGCCGGTACGTGCAAAGTATCGTTCCGTGAGAACGTGACTGCGGTGAGTTCAGGTAATGATTTTCGATATTTGAAAAAGCAACATCGAAACGTTGAATCATCGGAATACAAAATTCGTCACGTTCGAGTGGCGATGTCTCTTTCCAAAAAAGGTCATCCGTGCATGATTCAAGAAAAAACGATAGGAGGATCGAGCTACCGGTTACGACGAAACGATCTTTTCCGTAATCGATTAATTAACGGAGGAAAGGATGGTCGCGAAGTAGGATAGGTTTCTCGGAGCTACCGAAGCGGCGTCTCGCTGCTCGACGAGGGTCCACGTCATCGATTCTTCGCGCTCGGACGAACAGTTTTGGCCGGCTCGCTTGGTTCTCGCGTGTGGAGAACGTGCAATGGCCACTACATAGGTGTATGCACACCTATATAGGAGAGACAGTGCAAGAAGTGGGCAGGAGTGAGGCTGTGAGAGCACGTCTATAAATAGGACCAAGATCGAGATGAGGCCTCCTCTGCACTTCGAGATACCTTCTGTCCCTTTCTCTCTTCTCTTCACCTTCTCCTTTTATCCTATTCCACCTCTACGTTCCTTTTCTTACTTACCCTTCATCTTTCTCTCTCCACAGTTTCTCGCTCCGTCTTCGTCCTCTTCTTCTACTTACCTCTCTCCTTTTCTCTCCTTTGTTTTGCTCTCTTTCTTGCTCGCTAACACTCTTTCCTCTTTTCTCTTTCAGGCTGACCGTGTCTTTCTCTCTCACACTTCTCGTTGCTGACACTCTGTTTCTACCTATTTCTCGTCTTCTCTCTGTGCGCTCCTAACTTCTTCTCCTTCTCATTTTCAAGCATCCCTCCCACTAACGACCAACGACGTCGACGTCGACGTCGACGACGACGCGCTCTTCGCACGACACATAAGGATCGCGTATACGTTGGCGCGCGTGCAGTTGAGCAAAAAAAAATGTAAAATATATTTCCTCCATGGATATGCAAGCACCAGGCCAACCACTCTTCGAGATTCAAAGATGGAACGAGCGGGGTTATGTCGTTTCGTTCGTTCTCGATGGACCATAGGTGTTACCGAAATTTCATTCCTCGCCGCGATGTCGCACCGCACCGCGACTTCCGATCCGTGCGCGCGCATCCTGGTCTCCGCGGTAACTTTCGATCCGCAAAACTGAACGATACTTCAACGTCGTCGAACTGTTCGTCGCAAGGAAATCAAGGCGAGTTTTCTTCGTTCCAGGCGGGAAAAGTTTTAGAGAAAGCTGCTACATAATTTGTCCTTTTTTTTTTCTTTCCGATTTGCAGCCCGGTGTTCGGCTTCCGATCCGGCTGATTTAACCGGACGAGCAACGGATCGACGCTGCGAGAACGAGCATTCCGCTTTCATTCGTACCGCGCAACGATACCCGGTGTGTCGCATCGATCTTATAAAGCAGCATCAAGCGGAGAGCAGCCGAATGAGCCGAGCCGGCCAACCAGCCACACCCCGACGCGATTAAACCTGTTGCTGCTTCGCTCGTGGCTCGACTCCATAGACACGTACACGTAGGTGTTTGCCTGCTCGTATATGCACGGATCATTCTGAAAGTTTTCAGACGCGAGAGATGCCGTGAGACGAGTCGCCAGCTTGCACGCGCCTCCGACCGGACCAAACGATTCTATAGAACCGACAGAACGGATCGATCGATTCCGGATCGAAGATTCGACGAATTTCGATCAGCAATAAGTAGAAAAATGTTATTTCGAATGTAGAGACGGAAAGATTCCTGTATTGATTTTCTTATGCTTATTGTAATGGATACGAATTTGTTAATTCAAATCGTTTTAGCAGCTTAGCAGTATATTATAGGAGAGAGAATCACCAGGTCTCAATGAATGAAAGAAATATATATAACGGAGATATAAAAAGCCTGAGGAAGAACCCTCCTTTTTGCGCTGTACCGCTCGAGTTCACCTCTACCACCCCTCTAAAGATCGCTCCGCTTACCTTTGACTTACGCTTTTTTGCTACCCTTACGTTAACCGGCAAGATCGATGCAAGAACAGCATATAACGAGCTACCGAGCGAGGTCTCGAATTTCGCGTCTCTGGTAACGGTGTGACGCAATTCGGTAAGCCGGCGCGGGGGTAAAGTGGCTGCTAGGTGGGCTGCGTCAAATGATCGAAATTAGGGGGTAGGTTACGCGTTACATGACTGACATTACCCAGATATTCGCTCTACCGAGGGTTATTATACGCATCTAATTCCTGGAGAATTAGAGGCTAAAAATAACACGTAATCTCCGTAATCTCCCTTTAGAGGAGATGTTAGAATTTCGAGAACTCGGATCTTCACAGTTAGATGAATAATTTCTCGGCAATGTGTGTTTTGGATTCGCGAATACGTGGAAGGTTTCCGAGTAGTCGAAGCGAAGCTCGGAAAACATGAACGATCCGGGAAGAATCCTTGGATCGGGTCGCGCGTACGGCCAGCATCCGGAGAAGTCCTCGCTGGGGGTTAGGGTCACGTCGCGTAAAAGCAAGGTAGACCGTGGAAGCGGTGTATGCGGTGCAGGTGGCGGGTAAGGGGGGAAAAAGGTGAAGAGCGAGGGGGGTTCATTGAGGAACGGCACGTGTAAAGGATGGAGCGCGACCGCGAGGTGGAAGGAACGAGCACAGCAGGGGGTAGAGGCCGGGGCTAGAGGGGCCAACAATAGGGTTGCCAGGCGACCATCAGCCGATGGGTTGCCCCTGGCGACTGATTGCGTCACTGCAGCGCCGTATGACGTCACGCGACGCCACTGCCCTTGACCGTTCGAGTCCGGGGAGAGCGTCCTGACGACCCTCTTCTCCCTCTTCTCCCTTTCTACCCCGTAACCCACCGCCGCACCCTCCACCATCCGGCCGGCCCGACTTATGCCTCTGACGCCGTTGTAATCCGGAGGGGTAAAGTTATCTGTGGAAACGAACAAACACCTGCACCGTGTACGTCCTGAGTTCTCCTTGTTTCCACCACTCGTAATAGGGGTTGCAAAAGGCGCTACAAAAATAGTACCTTCGTACGTTCGTTGCGGATATTTTAGGAATTACGTTGATCGGTCGACGTTATTTTTATCGGCTGCTCTTTTATGCGGCTTAAATTTGATTCGTTACCAAAGCGAGTCAACTCGAAGAATGGTAATGAGATTAACAGTGTACAATCACGGAATGGACGTTTCGTTGATAGAAGAGATTACATTGTTTCGACGATATTGTTGCTTTTCTGCTTTCCACAATTTTAAACAACACGTTAACGTCAATGGGATTCTTTCGTAGTACATACTCGATTAAAACGGACTCGATGAAATAACACCTGTCACGCGTGACCACGGTACTAGATTACGGGCTAACGAAAAAAAAGTCAGAGAATTTATCGCTCAGCTGTCGATTATTTATGCACGATAAAGTCAATGTGTTTTATACCTAGGGAACAATCATAGTTGTTGCCAACTAACAATCTTAGCTCGATAGTGAAACATTATGGCCCGTTTCACTGGCTCAACAGCGATTAGCGATTTCAAGAAAATGTTGCATCGGGCAAACGTTACGAGTTAATCCCAAGTGCTTTACATTTCATTAGAACATTTTATGACACCATAATGCTTCCTCTGGTACCTAGTTTTTACTTGTGAGCAATGAACGTACATTTAACTTACTTAATGGAAAGATAAAAACGGTTGCCACTATCTAGCCAGCTGTCGTTCATGTACTTTTAAAATGTAACATATAAAAACTCATTTTTTACGCAAAATTAATGTATACGTGGGTTGGCATTAGAACGTGACAATTAGTTTAGAAAATAAACCGTTAATTATAATTTAATTGCAAAATTAAATCACCTCTGAAAAGTAGTTTAAAAATTAGACCGTTACGTCATCTATGCAAATACGGCGCAAACTACGCAACGAGTTACCGATCGATTTCCCGAAACAGGGAACTCTAGCGACAACTGTTGGAGAGCAGTTGAAACTATGCGACATCACCGAATCGATCTTTTCAACTTGAGAACTACTAAGGTTAGAGATACGCTTTATATGTCGTTAGAAAGGTCTCGCTGAGACTAGCTCATATCTGTTGCGTTTGTGCGTCTAAGTGGTCGGAGTCAAAAGTTACAGAGGTTTCAATTTTTCTATAGAAAGTCTATGGGTCGCACATTTTAGCTTCGGGATCCCTAACACCCCAAGATGATAGGTCAGTTCGCAGCGAGAGTTACTGGAGTCCCTAACACCACAAGATGATATTTTGTCGCTGCGCAGAGACTTACATGAAGCTAGCCTACATTCTCTTCATCCCTACATTCATTTCATCCCTACATTCCTTCCATCCCTACATTCCTTACATCGCTTCATCCCTTATATCTATACATGCTTTACATCTGTTTATCACTTACATCCCGACATTCCTTACATCTCTTCATCCCTTACATCTCTCCATCCCTTACATCTCTCCATCCCTTACATCTCTGCTTCCCTTACATCACTCCATTCCTCACATCTCTACATCCCTTACATCTCTGCATTCCTCACATTCCTGCCTTCTTTATATCCCAACATCTCTTACATCTCTTCATCCCTTACATCTCTCCATCCCTTACATCTCTGCTTCCCTTACATCCCTGCATTCCTCACATCTCTGCATTCCTCACATTCCTGCCTTCTTTATATCCCAACATCTCTTATATCTCTTCATCCCTTACATGTCTTCATCCCTTACATCTCTGCTTCCCTTACATCCCTGCATTCCTCATATCTCTGCATACCTCACATTCCTGCCTTCTTTATATCCCAACATCTCTTACATCTCTTCATCCCTTACATCTCTCCATCCCTTACATCTCTGCTTTCCTCACATCTCTACATCCCTTACATCTCTGCATTCCTCACATTGCTGTCTTCTCTATATCCCAACATCTCTTACATTCCTGCATCCCTTTGGGACATACATATATCCTTTACATCCTTGTATCACTTACATTCCTGCATTCCATACATTCCAGTACGTCCCTGAAATTGAGTTGAAATTTTTGTGACTATAAGGCCTGCGATTTTATACAAATTTAGTTCCTTTTTCCGCCGCCAGAGGGCGCTGATTCGACATCGAGATTTTAGTTCACATTTCTGCCGCCAGAGGGCCAAAAATGGTGCCTGGTTTAGTTCCTTTTTCCGAAACCAGATGGCGCTGATTCGACATCGAAATTTTAGTTCACATTTTTGCCGCCAGAGGGCCAAAAATGGTGCCTGGTTTAGTTCCTTTTTCCGAAACCAGATGGCGCTGATTCGACATCGAAATTTTAGTTCACATTTTTGCCGCCAGAGGGCCAAAAATGGTGCCTGGTTTAGTTCCTTTTTCCGAAACCAGATGGCGCTGATTCGACATCGAAATTTTAGTTCAGTTTTTTGCCGCGAGAGGGCGCTGTTTTTTTCGAAATTTACTAACTTACCTTTACTTACCTTTACTCGAAGCAGTCTTCATAATATATTTATTATAAGGGATGCAGAGATGTAAGGAATGTAGGGATGAAAAGAATGTAGGGATGGAAAGAGTGTAGGGATGTAAGGAATGTAGGGATGAAAAGAATTAGGGATGTGACGGATGAAAAGAATGTAGGGATGAAAAGAATGTAGGAATGGAAAGAGTGTAGGGATGAAAAGAATGTAGGAATGGAAAGAGTGTAGGGATGAAAAGAATGTAGGGATGATAAGAATGTAGGGATTTAAGGGATGTGGAGATGTAAAGGAACGAGGGATGTAAAGGAATTCCGCAGGAGTTCGGGGCTGGGGCCCCGGTCTCCTCTGCATGCGGCCCGATGAGTGCCGGCAACGGGTGTGGCCCCCTATGTCGGCGGAGTTTGGTACATGGCGGAGGGTTCAAAGGATCCTCCCTACCGCCCTAGTGTAGGCCACCGTGGTGGTTTTAGTGGGTAAAAATCCCACACTACCTCCGGCCCCTCCCCAGGGGGGTTGAAGGTGTCTTTCTGAAGATTTCCACCACGTTAAAAAAAAAAAAAAAAAAAAAAAGAAGGTATTTAAGGGTTGCAAGAATGTAAGGAATGCTGGGATGGAAGGAATGCCGGGATAGAAGGGATACTGAGATGGCCTTGGCCTATAATGAGGGATAAAATTATATAAATAACTGGAAAAAGTAAAATAAATGAGGTCCTCGGCTGAGACCCAGATGAGGGATATAATCATAAATGTTATTTCCCTTAGATGAGCTTATTTAATAAGCAAAAAAAATAAATGAAGTAAATTAAATAAACTCTGGAAAAAAATTATACCGGTTGTGCCTTCTTCATACGGTCCTGACTTTATCCAGGGGTGTTAGGGACCCCGCTGCGCCAATGTCGTCCTCTGCGTACCGACCTGATATCATATTGGGGTATTGAGGACCCCGAAACACCGGTGTCTATCTTTGCATACCAACAATATAGCATCCGGGGTGCCAGGGACCCCGAAACACCAGTGACTATCACTGCATACCGACCTATCATCTTGGGGTGTCAGGAACCCCGAAGTACCGATGACACTGTTTGCATACCGACATTTGGCATCCGGGGTATCAGGGACCCCGAAGCACCGGTGACACTGTTTGAATACCGACATTTGGCATCCGGGGTGTCAGGGACCCCGGAGCACCGATGACACTCTTTGCTTACCGACACTACGCATTCGGGGTATCTGAGACCCCAAGTTATCGCTGACGCTGCACACCGACCTTATGCCACCGGGGTGTCAGGGACCCCGAAGCAAATAGCGAAATATAAGAACGGAAAACGAACAAATCTTGAAACTCACTTGTTCGGGATAGTGATGGATTTGAGCGGACCTAGCGAAATATAAGAACGAAAAACGAACAAATCGTGAAACTCACTTGTTCGGGATAGTGATGGGTTTGAGCGGATCTAGCGAAATATAAGAACGAAAAACAAACAAATCGTGAAATTCTCTTGTTCGGGATAGTGATGGGTTTGAGCGGATCTAGCGAAATATAAGAACGGAAAACAAACAAATCGTGAAACTGTCTTGTTCGGGATAGTGATGGGTACGACCGGATCTAGCGAAATATAAGACCTAAAAACGAACAAATCGTGGAACTCACTTGTTCGTGGTAGTGATGGGTCTGTAGCGGGGTCCCCGACACCCCAAGATAATATTTTATCGCTGCGCAGAGAGGTACTGTGGTTCCTGACACCCCAAGATGGTATCAGGTTTGTATGTAGAGAGTGCCACCAATGTTTCGGGGTCCCTGATACCCCGGTTGCCATAATGTCGGTATGGGAAGAGTATCATCTGTGCTTCGGGGTTCCAGACACCCCAATGGAATCAAGTCGGTATGCAAAGCGCTTCGGGGTTCCTGACACCCCAGATAGATCCGGTCGGTATGTACAGAGCGCTACGGGGTCCCTGACACCCCAATGGAATCAGGCCCGTACTTAGAGGGCACAACCAGTATAATAATCATCCTCTAATTTTTAGTTTATTTTAGAGGTGTTTATTTCAGTACCACGGGGAGTTGAAGTTCTCAGACTACTTTCCTTTACTTACCTTTACTTGGCGTTTCTCGAATCAGTGGCTGTATGTATTTTTTTTTTTTTTTAACGTGGGGAAATCTTGCATAAGACCCCCCGCCGCCATCTCTGAGATTGTCAAATTCCTACTGACTAAAACCCCACAGCGACCAACACTGGCATTAAAGGAGGGTTCCGATACCTTATGTATATATATTACTCCGTAGCCCTCCACCCCTGTAACACTGGTGCCCGCCATCACGAGTGCCTAGCGTATGGCCGACAGCAGGGGTTGCGCCCGATCCTCGAGGGTGTACAAAAAGAGTGGACGTGCCTTGAGGCCGGCCGCGCATGCACAGTGGAAAAGGGGGAACTCGACTCTATAAATAAGTCGCTTAAATAAAACAAGTACTGATTGTTATGTTAGAAAGGTTGTTTTCTTAAGACATTTGTGGTAATGTCATTAAGAACAATGTGAATACTACAATGCGAATACAAAGAATAAAATTTGTTGGTTGTTTCCTCGTTCTCATTTCACTGAACGTTAAAATATCAAATGGGATTGGTGGAGGTTAGTGGAAAAGCAACAAATTAGGTTATACATAAACCATAATACATGTAACAACACTAATTCTTTTGTAACCGAACATATGTCAGGACATTCACTTACGTTTAAAACGAGAGGATCTTTTAGTGATACCAGTATTGGATCAGATGTATTTTTTGAAATCATATATCCTCCAGAATTGGAGTACACCTATAAATTAAGACCTGCTAAAGATTTTGGAGCTCCTTTTGTAAGTATCTTTAAAACGAATACAAATATAATCAATTAAACTGTGTAATATTATTAGAATGCAAGTTTCTTGGAAGAAAGAATCCCTTTGGTTCCAACTGATCCTCCACATGGATGCCAGATAGCAAAGAATGCCAAGGAATTAAAAGGTAGAATAGCATTGGTTGAAAGAGGAGATTGTAGTTTTTTTGCTAAAAGCATAATGGCAGAAGAAGCTGGAGCAAAAGCTGTAATTATAGCAGATTATCATTCTTCCTCTATGGAAGAATCGATAACAAGTCCACTATGGGCTGACTATTACTATGTAGAAATGATACGCGACGATACTATCCCACCTTCAAAGACAGTAAACATTCCTGCTGGATTTTTGCTCGGTAAGAACGGTAAAATGATCCGGCAAACGCTACAACGTTTGAATCAACCTTTTGCCTTAATCAACATCCCAGTGAACTTAACTTACACTTCTTTAGATAAGTTACATCAACCACCGTGGTTGTTTTGGTGATCTTCAATAAAGTTTTGTATGAACTTTCGCATAATAAAACAAATGCGTTGACTTGTATTGTTAGAATGATGAAATCGTTATGAAAAAAGAAAAACAGAAAGAAAAATATATAAAATTAGTTGCAATGAAAGTAATTATATAAACAGTTTATTATGTATTGTAATAGTAAAAAAAAGAGAAAAGAAATGCAATTGATTAGAACTTGTTCTTTTAAAATTCATAGTTATTTCGAGATAGGTCGGGTCTCTTTTTGCAACCATTCAAGTGCTGGAGCATTTTCTGGTCCTTGTAATAGAGGCCTCAGGGTATTCCAACATCTTAGATGGTAATTATTTAGGTATTCGATCTATGGAAAAAAAACGTTATAATTAATTATATGACGATAATCAAAATATAAGAAACAAATCGAATGTATACCTCATTATCTGTTAATAAGGAAAGATCAAGTAGCTTAGTATGTATAGGCACCAATGTAACGGTTTCAAAAGTAAGAAAGCCACGATTTTTGTGATTATAGGGTGTATTTGCCTTTACTACTAACTCTATATTTTCCAATCTAACGCCAAACTTTTCATCCTCGTAGTATCCTGGTTCTATTATTATCAATTATATTAATATCAATAGCGTATATGATTAAAAAAGTTGACAAATTCTTGTACTTTATACCGTTTGAAAGAAACATGCCAGGTTGTAAACCTGGATCATCAGGATATGGTCTCCAAGAAATACCAATTGGACCTTCGTGAACGTTTAAATACGAACCTACTCCGTGTCCCGTACCATGAAGGTAATTAAGACTGTAATTATACATTTAAATACGAATAAATAAAATATTTTCCATTTTATATGCAAAAAGATGATGTATATACATACCCAACACTCCATAAGTTCTCACGGGCAAGTGTATCAAGATAATTTCCTTGTACCATTAGAGGAAAAATCGAGGTCGAAAGACGGCACTGACCCTTGAATACTCTCGTAAAACATTCGCGTTCGAAATTTGTTGGGTTACCAAAATGTAATGTTCTTGTAACATCTGTAGTACCATCCCGGTATTGTGCACCAGAATCGCAAAGATAAACCTCTTTCTCTGTAATTGGTACATCAGTCTTTGGTGTTGGTAGATAATGGATTATTGCTCCATGGGGCCCAACTGAAGATATCGTCGGAAAGCTAAGCCCAACGAAATACTCCTGTTCCCTTTTAAACATACATTTAATTTTAATTTTTATTATATCCAGCCTGTATAAGTGTATATGGAAATTTTCTTACTTTCTAAAGTTTTCAAGTTGAGTTGCTCCAGATATCTCTGTAATAGTTTCCTTCTTATTTTTAATCTTATCTTCCAACCATGCAAAATACTTTACAAGTGCAACCGCATCTCGTATGTGAGCTGCTTTCATTCCTTCAATTTCAACATCATTTTTTACAGCCTTCATAATATTGATGGGAGTAACAGCAGTGTGCTTTTTTACTTCCCCACAGTCAGCATGTAATGCATAACTAGAACCATTGCTTATCCATATTTTTTCATCATTTGTACATGAATTTGCGATTTCTTTCAAAAAAGTATGTATATCTTCATAGGAATGATAAACAACATTCACTTTTTCATCAACCAGTTGCTGTTGGGCCTTTTCGCTAAGCCTACTTTTATCAATAAATAAATGCAAATCATCCAATGTAAGAATAACGTATGCAAAGAAAACAGGATTATAAGGTATATCGGATCCTCTTAAATTCAAGATGTATGCTACTTCATCCAAAGCTGTGATCACAAGTGCTTTTACTTTGTTCTTATTCATTGTCTCTTTACATGATTCAACTTTTTTGCTTGCACTGCATCCTGAAAATTGCAATGGGTGAGGTACAACAACATTACCTGTAGCAGTGGACTGATCACTACCCCAAACTTTGTCAATTAAATTCTCTTCAAGAGGCATCAAACAATGACCAGCAGCAGTTAAACTGGTATGTAAGATTGCCCATTCTGTATAACTCATTAAATTAGCATCTGCCCCAACAGTAGATTTAGGAGGTAAATTAGAAACCAACCATGCAGCTCTTGTTGGAGTGTCCAATGAACCTTCTCTCATAAGTGTCCATGCTTCTGGTGGATCAAATTCTGCTAAAGCTTGCATGTAGTATCTTCCATCTGTCCATAACGAAGCTTTATGTGGTGTAATAACTGCAGTACCAAAGGAACCAGTAAAACCACTTATGAAGCGGAGTCTTTTATCGTGTTCTCTCAAATATTCTGACTGATGAGCATCATCCGAATTTATAATTAAAGCTTGGAGACCTTTTCCCTTGATACCACCTACTTGAACAGCTTCCATTAATCCCCTAAGTTTAGCTAACTTAATTGCACCACTTGTTTGTGCCATATTGATGTTTTTAAGTTCTTTAATATCTTGCAATATCCTAAAATCATATTATTTTCATGTAAAAAATTATATCAATATTTACTTCAATAAATTTACTAAGTTATTTCAATTTGATACATAGAAAAACATAAAAGTTAAATACACTCACATACCTGTAATGTATATAAAATTACATGCGGTTAAATTTCAACCACTTTGTGCTACGTGTTGCGAATTCTAATCTGGCTTATCGCAACGTCTTAATCTTATCAAACATTTTATGAAAATATCGAACAATTATTCTTACTTCAAATATGGAATATGAAATACAAATTTAATGCTACAGATTAGATATAGCTGAACTCCCTCCGGGTTTCCCTCTCTTTCTATTTACTCGTTTTATATAGGTTGTAGCTTGTGTTCCGGATACCACATTAAATATCTTGATATTTGTCGGTAATTGTCGGTAAATACGATTTCTCGAAAAACTTGAGATGCAGAATGGGCACCGAAAAGGAGAAGCCCGGAATAAGTCATCTGGATAGAATCCTCCAAATTGGATGGTGACCCAGAAATGTATTACTCGTTTGTGATCTCAACTTCTATATCTATATGTCAGAATCCATTAAAGATTTTCAGGTTCGATCGGTACATGCGTCGTTAGCACGCCATAACAGAAAATAACCCACATGTTGCCTCTCTGTTTTTGTTCTGTCACACGATCAGCTGATCAACTATGGAGACTTCAATCCTGAACGCGGTAAGTGTTACTTTGTTTTCTTGAATGCCTTATCATTATGAATGACTAATAATCTTATTTTCATTAATAATTTATGCGTGATACAAGTGTTTCTCATCGGTTATGTATATGTTCGTTTACGCAGATTAGACGATTCGGTTTTGTAAAAACATGCGACTGTGCTAGCTACGTCATATTGTTACCAAGTCGTCGAATGTCATTTGTTAACTTTACGCTTACTTCTTTTTTCATTTTTTTATATATAGTTTTTGATTTATCTTTTTATACAGGCATTGATAAAACATTTTTCTTTTCTCTATCAAAGGCACACGAAAGACAGAGAAGAGCAGAGGCACTGTTACATGAAGGACGTTTCGAAGAAGCAGCCAAGTGTCACGAAACAGTGGCTAGTCTGTTGGGAGAAGCACATGCACAACTTGAATCTGGTTTTGTTCATTTAAAGACTTCTAATTTATCTAGTCAAACTCCTCCAACTGTGATTACTTCTTTTCATTCGCTGATTACTTTAGAATCTCTTGCTCTTCAGCGTGATTATCATAAAAGACAAGCTGCTGTAGTTAGGTAAGCAAAAAGAACTTACAACCAACTATATTATGCAAATCACTAATTATGATGCATTAATAAACATTTTGTAGAATGAAACAAGCACAATATGAAGAATATAAAGCTACTTTGGAAAATCAAAAAAGAGAAATTCTTTGCAAGCAAGCACCAAAGCAGCTAGAAAAGGATACCGGTGAACTGATATCCGATAAGTTTGATGGATCCTTACGACAAGCTATATACAGGACAATAGAAGAGCAAGACAGCCTGTTGACCTTAATTTCATTACCAAATAACAAGGATAAAGCTTTTAAACATCCAAAAGATACAGGCACTGTTATTGAAGAGCTTAAAACTGTTAATTGTCAATTACGTTGCCTCGTTGGTAGCTTGTTAAGTCAATTGGAAACTAAAGAGGCGGAGGTGCGTCAGTTAACTGAACAGCTTCGTGCAGCATCCGTTAATCCTAATGACGAAACTAGATTAGACAATGCGCATTCGTTGCGACTGGCACCTTTGCCACCTTTAACTCCCCTTGAGATGCCTCTGTTTGACTTTACCTCGACGTAGAACATTTCAGAACACGCGTTCCAATTATTCATGTTACAGGACATAAATATTATACATAAAATTGAAGGATCCAAGTTTGTAACAGTACAAAAGTTAATGTAAAAAATTGTTGTAGTATTTAGCTTCTTGCTAAATATGATTTCAAAGTTCAAGTAATATTACAATCAACATTTTGTATCATATAAAAGGAAAAAAAAAATATGTTCTAGCATATGTAGCCCTGACACGTGTTAGCACTTATTTTTACCGATTCATTCGAAGGGATCAAAATACATATCAACATAAGTGAATACATAAATCAAGCGAATGAATTGTAAATTAAGATACTGCCATTCATGTGTTTGTAGGCAGAGGTAAATAGGGATACCTCTATTGTAGAATTATACAGTGGCGGTAAAAACCTGTACATAACTGTTGTTAATTGTAACTGCAGTACAATTGTGTGTTAATTCGTTTAGACGTAATTATTAGGTACATAAAATGCGTGTAACAACTTTTATTACATATTGTGTTCTGTTGTACAATAAACATCTATTGAACAAATAACGTGATTTGTTATTGCAATAAGTTCCAAGAACCCTTTCAATTTCCTCTACAGTCATCGATTATTATGAAAAACTTGACGTTCTCATCGATAAATGAACATATTCAGTACTGTTTAGACTCATCATTCTGACAAATTTATACAAAAATGACTCGTAAAAAGTTAGGATAAAAAGAAAAAAAAATATGTAAAGAGGGTGAAGTAAATTTTGCACGTAAACTATTATCAGGATATTCAAATCATGAAGTTGCTTCATCGTGAAAGGAAATTTGCAGGAAATTTTTGATCTGGAATATGGTTAAATGATGGATGAATCAGGTCAGATAATAACAATCTTTATAGGACAGGCTGGCACGCAATTAGCAAGCGCCTGTTGGGAATTATTCTGCCTAGAACACGGGGTAGGACCAAATGGCTGTATTCGTCAGGGTTATTACCCCATAGACACTTCGTTTTGCACATTTTTCGCAGAAACGCAAGTGAGCGGGAAGCAAATAGATTTTTTACAAATAATTTTTCAAAACAAAAAAAAAATAAAAAATTAACCGACCTTAGGCAAGAAAATTGACCCCAAGAACGTTGATCGTCGATCTAGAGCCCACTGCGATTGATGAGATTAGAACAGGCACCTACAGGAAGCTGTTCTCTCCGGAATCATTGATCTCTGGAAAAGAAGATGCGTCGAACAATTACGCGAGAGGATATTATACCATCGGTAAAGAGGCGATCGATCTCGTATTGTATCGCGTTTGCAAACTATGGGAATCATGCTCGAAACCCCGTGGATTCATGGTGTTTAGGTAAACTTTGGTACAGGTCAGCACTGTGACCAGTGGGCAACGAGCCAAAGAGGGCAACAGTAGTAAAGAGAAGCCTGAAGGCAGTGACCTAGCTACTCGAGGAGGCTTTTTCTTATTTTCTCTTCTGTCTTCGGTGTTCAATTTCTATTCCCAGCACGTACTTGTTGCCCTTAGGCTCGAGCGGCAAGTCCGATGCCTATTTTACACGGCCATTCTTACCCTAATTCCTCCTTAGAGGATCCCGCATCACCGAGTACTATAACTATACTAATTTCCTAGGTCACTTGGCGGTGGTACCGGAAGTGGTTTCGCCACTTTGCTGTTACAACGTCTAATGCGGGACTATCCTAAGAAAATCACCCTAGATTTTGCCATTTACCCATCCCCCAATATCTCCACCGTTATAGTCGAACCGTACAACTCGATTTTTACCATAGACAGTAGCCTAGACAGCGCTGATTGTTGCTTCCTGATGGACAACGAGGCTCTGTACAATATTTGCACAAGGTACAAGAAAATCTGTATCCACCGCGTATCTCTGAAGATCGATCATTAACGCGTGCTGTCTTCTAATCAGAAACTTGGACGTAGACTGCCCAACGTATACGAATCTAAATCGACTACAGGCTCAAGTAGTTTCGAGCATCACAGCCTCGATGAGGTTCGAGGGAGCTGTGAATCTGAGCCTCCAAGAACTCCAAATGAACCTGGTGCCTTATCCAAGGATTCATTTCGCCCTGGCTACCTATGCCCCGTTGATCTCTGCTTCTAAGGCCATGCACTCGGACATCACCACGCAACAGATCACGTACGAGTGTTTCGAGCCATCTAACCAGGTGCTAAACGAAACGTTTCACGCGTTCTTGAAGCTTATTTCTCACTTATTCGTTCAATTTTCAGATGGTAAAGTGCGACCCGCGTACAGGAGCTTACACGAGCTGCTGTTTGCTATATCGAGGAGACGTGAACCCGAATGACGTAAATAAAACGATCGCTTCCATGAAGGGAAAGAAATCGATTCGCTTCGTCAGTTGGAGCCCGACAGGGTTCAAGGTATGTCTTCCATAAACGATGTTTCTTCTTCTTTTCGTTAACACTTTGACTGCCACGCTGAAACCATTGAAAATTCCATCAAGTATTACTTTTGTCTTCACAAATCTTATGTACATTATCTTTAACACGTTCGCGACGGGGTGTACCGCCGGTAGTACATTCTTGCCTGTCCCATGGGATGGTGTTACATAAACTATTATCGCGTCATAGCATTTAAATAACTGATTATTGTAATTAAGAAATTTCAGGCCCCGTCGCGAAAGTGTTAAAATATTTCATTATATTTTTATCCACAATTTCAAGTATCTAATACAAGTATTTCCAATTGAGTAAGTCAAAGAATTTCTAATAGTATGAGTGATGAAATTCAAGCGTCACCCATATATGAGTGACGTGGCGTTCAAAGTGTTAACCAATGGACAAAGAATCATCCCGATATTAAATTTATGGATAATCACGAAGTGATGCAGCGAATCTGTGGCTATTGACATTCGTTCGTTAGATAATCAAAACATATTTTGGTTAGAACGATGAACTGTAAATAGAAAGACTGAACTTTGGCAATGGGTGATGCAATGAGTTTGTCTAGACTCGCATTGTTGTGCGATTTGTCAGAAAAGAAAGTAGACCATGTCAGTCGACGTAGTTTCTTCGAGACTGAAACCTTCTCTTCAACTTTCAGGTAGGAATTAATTATCAACCGACGACCACGGTTCCCGGCGGAGATTTAGCAAAATCGAAAAGAACAGCGGCAATGGTTGGCAACAACACAGCTGTTCGATACAATTGGGGGATGTTGGCTCGTAAATTCGATTTGATGTATCAGAAGAGAGCTTTCGTTCATCACTACGTAGGGGAAGGTATGGAGGAAAGTCTGTTCCAAGATGCGCTGAACAACATCGTAACTTTGATAGACGATTACAAAGAGGTCGAAAAGTGAACGAAGGGATACACGTGTGTTCGAATCGTATTCACCTTGCAAGAGGGGAAGAAGAAACGAAGAAATATAGCTACTGTACGAGATAAGAGAGAGAGAATCAGGAGATAAATGATAAAGAGGGAACGGCAGACTTCATGGCACCGTTCTTCATTAATCACTCTCGACATGGATAAAAAATCACGTATCTCTCGTCTGGAACTCGTAAAAAGGCGCGTGTTCAAAATTACCTACGATTCACGTAATAATGCGTGTCTGATAACAAACGATGCCTGGTAATTCCGAGCGATAACGACGCGTCACCACCTTTGTTCTGGGTGAATAATTACATCTTTACTCTGCTTATCGGGAAACGATCAAAGTCCGAAATAGAATTAATCGCGAGGAATCGTACCTGTCCTGATAAAGATTAATCGCATTGGTAAATGACATCTAAAACAGATGTACAGATCGAGGAAAATCCACAGAAAATACGGTACTTCAGGCGTGTCAACGAAAGAAGAGATACTCGAAGGAAGAGCAAAGATAGACAACTGCGTTTCGTATCAGGATCGACGATCGCCTATCGCGATCACGTCGTTTCTTTTTCACTCATCTCTTCGATGTCACGAAAGTTTCACGTGAATCCACGCGACTTTCGCGCGTTACCCCCATCGTCCCGGAAAGTATCTTATCCGACACATTTTTGACTTACGTAGAACGACCGTACGGCCTCGATTGACCCGTGGCTCGTCAAACAAATTTTCCATCGGCATCTTTTACTCTTCTTAAGTACAAGTGTCCTGACATTTCGAATTATCTGAAAAGATGAGTTATCCTTCATTAGTTATCATTTCGTAATCATTTTCCTCGTCTATTAGTTTCACTATTACCCTATTTCTATCGTCTGGCTTAATTTTAGAAACATCGTTTTTCCTTGTTTGTCATGAGCTTTGGAGAGGCGTGTGTTTGCATACATGCAAGAGGATGATTGCTACTTTTCTCCTAGACACAATGGTAGACGAGCTGGCAACGTTCCTCTTCGTGTTTTCTGTAATCTTGTATCACAGTGAAAAATTATGAAACGAAGTGTAGACAAATGTTTAGATAGATGAATAAAAATTTTAACCCACTTTCCTGAGAATCTGACAATTTTCAAGTAATGAACTTTGAGTTTAAGATGCAAATAAGAATTGTACGAAGTCTGGGTCAAGCCGGAGTTTGGGGGGTCGTGCACCTCTTGGAAAACTTTTGACACGATGAATAAACATAAACAAATGGCGTGTCAATATTGTCGTAAGAAGCAAAGTACATCTGGATGATGCGAAACGTTATCACCTCTTGTCGGGGGAGTTCCTTTTTTTCATCCATCGTATCAATGTTAACGACGTGTCATCGCACGACTTACGCATTATTTTCCATCTACACGCGTACATTATATGTACGTTTACACGGTTTAACCTTGATCGTTGAGTTGTTATCTTGACGAACTTTGATTTTGTTAATTCGAATAGGTGGAAATCGTACATCAACAAGACGAGGCAACGCCGTTTTCTCGTGATTTTATTTACAAAACCAGCTTTGATATCTGAATGTATTTCACCGAATTAATTTTTATTTTTATTGGTGACGAGATGCTTGGAGAAAAAGACGCACGAGCGTTATTGAAAACATTCCATGATCGAGGAAAAAGATACGCTCGAGAAGGTCTATCGTGTTTGCTGGATCAATTTAGATCACCTGATCAAGGAAAATCTTGAAAAGCTTGTTTCGTAATTTTCAAGGAAAATGATATCGTCTTAAGAGAGGATATAAACACCTCCTACGTTGTTTTGCCAATTGAATTTCTGAAATTAAGATGAAAATTGCAACACCGTGTTTGGTTCCTTCCAAAAGAGGGATTTCCCAATTTCTTTACTAACTTTCCTGTAATATGAAGATCTATCTAGTTTACCCTAAACAACAATTCTAATAACAAGTGGTAACATTGAAAGGGTTAATCAGAAGGTTGCTCTATCCGTGCGCTGATCCGTCCATCAGGAATTGCGCCACAATGGCTGGCAGCTTATCAAAACTGGTATGGGCGAGTATTCGATAAGGTTGCATCGAGAGGTAGGCGAAAGAGTAGGAGAGGATGAAGCGTATCTAAATCTTGACTTTTTGACACGTTCTGAAAAATGTTCCACCCCTACCACCGACGGTTCCCATGCACTGCTCGTGGATTCGGTGTACACGATGAATGACGCGACCATTCTTCTTATCACCAGACCCCGTGACGTCGACTTTATCGTATAAATTATCCACGGAAGGAGGTCCGTTCTTCAGTTCAGCTTTTCTCCTCGCATAATTGCGAGGCGAGGTACAACTACCGCAAGACATTTCTTCTTGTTATACCATCAATTTACTTCCACTTAACAACATAGAATTTCACGATTCTATTACAACAAACTAGTCTCTCTCAGTACACTTCAATCAACAGAAAACAAAGGTAAGCACTTCTATTTGAATATACTTTCCTCTTTATTCTCATTTCAATTTTGAGATGTTTCCTTAGCTTTGGACCAATGTATCTTCCTTCTTGGTAATTCACCATCAAAGGATTCATTTTTTCAGTTGAATACCTGAGGGCATATCTATTTCCAACCCTATGCACACCCCAATTTTTAATACTTTTAAAGGATCCTCGTTAAATTTCTTTGTTATTTTCTTTCTAGATGTTGATCGGTGGAGCAGTAAGTTACGTCGCTGGAAAGCAGGCTGTTCGTACAGTGTACTGGCGAACAGCGAGTAATGGTCGTTTGTTGAAAACAGCGAAGACCTGTATGTTCCAAGGACCACCCGACCCTGCACTCTCTTCAACGTCCGCTGCCTCATCGTTCAAAGGCCACTCACACATGGAGCCTATATCGAAGGAGATCTTCAATCACCGGAATTAGGTGACAAATCGACATGACATTGGAACCAAAGAAACAATGGGACAAAAAAGGGGGCGACGGTGGGAGAGATCCAATATGTCCTTGGTGCAACGACCACGTAGCCTTTGTACATAATTATCAATTTAAGTTAATTCCACTCACTAAATGAGTTAATCTGTAATTAAATTAAGTCAATTAAGTTAATTGTTCGTATGTATGCTGTTCGATAACGCTGTGTGAACCAATGAATAAAGTGAATATTTATTTTCTATAGAAACGAGGATTATTTCTTTATCGATATTTACTTGTTCACCATAAAGTTGCTAAGTTTCTTCGCCGGCCATCTCGGTGTCAACGAGTGTATCTTTTAACGAGAAGTAGTAGATTAAGGGGTCTAGATGAGACGCACCTCTCACCTTTAAGCTGCGAATTTTCATAGCGTGAACTTTGAAATAAGGTCAAATTGGTTTTGCGTCATTGCCGGGTTAGAGAATAGAACGCTCTCATTCGAAATCGTCGCTAGAGATGATAACGATTAATCGGACAAACGATTCGTTGCTTCTTTTGCTCGAGTTTTATCGTTCGTGTTCTCGACGGACCGCCGGTGATACAATACAATCTTAACTTTGTTCGCGAGGTCAATTCGACCTATAAGAGAATCATTAAAAATATCACCTGGATTTCAGTGCAATTGCAAAGACGTTCCGCGAATGCGTTTCTAGATATAAAAATAAAAGCTTAACGAGAGAAGATAAATTTCTCTCGGGGTTAACGAGGAGATAGCGTGCCGATTCTAGTAAAAATCCATGCTCCCTTGTTAAACCGATGAACTTGCCAGATCGAGACATCAACGATTATCAGGAAAGGAAATTGCAATCACGCACACGCACCGTGGCCGTGTGATGTTATGCGAATCGACGATACGGTTTAACAGGATGCGTAATTCTTTAACCGTGTATCATCTGAAAGCACAACATATGAGAAAGAATGACATTTTCTTTCCGAACCGCGACCTATCGTTCGCAGAGATTTCTCTAAGTAAAGTGGAAACTTACGCTGACGTCAATGCTACGGTTCGTTTCTGTCAGGCTCCTTTGGACCCTCTCTCTCTTTTAGCTTCGATCAACCCTCGGACGACAGACCGTCGAGATTATTAATTTAACTATCGGAATTTCACGATTCGCTCATCTACGCTGTTCGAGGGTTAATCACCCTACGCCAGAGTCATTTGGAAACTTTCAATTCATTTGGATGAGAGCGAGGGAGGATTGCGGGTCAAGGTCTTCGACATTCAATGTTAATTGGCATAGACAGGGTTTCCTCAAACGCGCTTCCGGAGGCTATTCTACACGCTAAGGAAAACTTCTTATATTTAACTCGAGAAACAACGTTGCAACGGCTTTCGAAATGAAAGCAAATCGAAATATTTTCTTCCAATTTTCCTCTCTGTCCCCTCAATCGATGGCGATCTAATTAATTATCCTAAAGCGAAAGAAATGGAGGAAGTAATCGTACACGTGAACTTACGAACGGTGATGCTCAAAAACCGGATATCCGGCTTGTGATCAACTGCGCAAGAACGGCGGAAGAACGAGGGTTGGAGAAAGTGGAAGAGGTGATTCTAGCAAAAGATTTGAGTCGCTACCAGAGAACTGTACAATTCTTTTTTTGAAACTTCCTGTAGAATCAAATAAGAAAAAATGTCACAGAATTCAATACCGGATATGTAGACATGAATGCGATAAAAGAATTCAGATTATAATTCTTTAAGTGAACATTCGCGGTCAATCATTCCCAAAATTTCTCATAAATCATCAATGTTCTAAACACATTTGTTAATACTCTCTAAAATGATTGATGTCATTAAGTCGCATATTCGCGGGAAGTAAATTGTTCGCTAAGTTAAACGGGATAGAGTGGAACAGCCATCGCTAGTCGATCGAGTGAACAAGGGGGTGTAGATTGCGCGGGCGCACTGTCAGGACTATCGATTTCGCGAGCAAAAGGTGCCACACGGTTGGCCATCGATTCGACGCTCGTCTAAAAGGATTGTAGCTGGTGATTCCCAAAAGACGAGAGGACGGTTCGGTCGAGGAATTGCTCTCCGATCCGCGAAACAAGCACCGATTCGACGAATCGGTCAGAGGGTTAGATCCGTGGACGTTGGATAATTGTTACGTGCGTGTCCGTCCACGAAAGACGAAGAACGGAAGGGGCTAAGGAAGGTAGACCTCGACCCTAGTCATGCAGAACTATGGACACGAAAACTACGATTATGGGTCTATCGAGGGAACCTCGCAACAGGCAGGCGGTAGATCGTTACCACAGGTAGTGATATGGCCATTCGATTCATTTCCCTTTCAAAATTGTCAAGTTTCAATGTTTCAAAGTGATCCTAGATCATCATTTAAAGTTCTTGAGATTCTTCTAAACACTAGGTATTCTCTGTTAATCGAAGTGTTACACTTGAGTAGTTGATTTATGGAATTACTTAATTATATTCGAAGCGATTATTAGTTGACCATTAACCACAGGTACCAGGTGCTCGACCCATGGTGGATCCCGAGGCCCAAGGCGAGGTCGACCCTACCTTGTATCCGCAACCAAAAGAGGCGACGCATAAGATTCGTGGCAAGAGCGACGTGATCGAATACCTGTTTGGTTCCGTCGATCAGGAACTTCTCACTGTGAAAACCTTTTATTTTTTCTTCTACTCGGCCTTTGGCTCCCTCTTTCCTTTGATGGGAGTCTACTTCAAGCAGATGGGCATGAACGCCGGTCAATGTGGTCTCTTGATGGGACTTAGGCCTTTGGTCGAGTTCCTCAGCGCTCCTTTCTGGGGCTCGCTAGCCGACAGGTGATCCACTCTGTACATATAACTTCGTAGTTAGAAAACACTTTTCTATCGCAATCCACCCTCGCGTGGGTGTGTTTCATTTCCCCTTAGATTGTCGAAGTAAACAACTTCGTTACCTTCCACGTCCTAGAAAGAATCCAATAAAAGCTCCACCCGTTTTGCAGATGGCAGAAAGGTAAGATGATGCTTCTAGCATCTCTTTCCTGCTGGATTATCTTCACCCTTCCTCTGGCCTTCATGCAACCACCGGCCACGTCCTGCGTGGTTTTACGCAACAACACCGTCTACTTGGAATCCCCGAATCCCAAAACTAGGATAGTCAAGAGATCGACCAATTTCGATGAATTTTACCATCGAGGCGACAACCATTGCCTGGAAGTAGCCGCGAACGTCGTGTTCGAGAGGCTGCGTAAAAACGACGACACGATAGACTCGCTGAACAGGTTGCTTTCGCAACCTAACAAGACTTCCTCGACGAGCAACGTCAGAAGGAACGATCGAAACTCCATCCATAAGAAAACTGAGGATCTGAATAATAATAGGATTCGAAGAGAAGCTTCGATAGAGAGTACGAGCACCGAGGAGAGCCCTATAGAAGATCTCAAGTACAAACAGCTGGTGTTCGAAGAGAACGCGAACGATCCTGAAGCCAAAACCATCGATTTCGAGACCCTCCAAAGGAGAAACCGTCCAGCCGACGTGCTCGAGTACAAACGTTTCCTTAATGTAAGTTTTGTGCGCACCAGTTGCCATCGGAAACGGTGATCGAGGCTTTTTGTTGCAGAATCAACCCCTGGACGATGGAACACCGCCGAAGAAGGCGTACACTCACACGAAAACCAGAGCGAAACCTCCGCCGATGAAAGTTATGGTGAAGCGAGACACCAGTGACGAAATAATTAAAGATAATCAAATTCTGTCCGAGTCTAGTCAACCATGGTCCACCATAAAGACTCCACGGAAGCTGACGTTAATGGACGACGAAGAGATGGATAAGGACAAAGATGAGGAGGCTGTTGACGTGCCACTGGTCAGGAGTAAACGTTACGTTTGGGTGCCACATTCTGGAAAAAGTCCTCACTCGGTTTCTTATGCTGCGAATTACAACGAACAAGAAAATAAGGGCTGGGTAAAGCCGCTCTTCAGCTCCATTGTCTATAGATTGCCGGTATAAATCATTCTTTCGTTTACAATCATCTCTCTTTAGTTTGATAATTGGATTAACTGAGGAATATTGTTTGCAGGACATTCAAAAAACCTTCTTCTTACTGTTACTGTTAGTAATAGTTGGAGAATTCTTCTCAGCTCCAGCGATAACGTTGGCAGATTCAGCTGTCATTACTTTGTTAGGCGAGGATGCCGACAGGTAGAGAGTTTCTTGGACAATCCATCTTTGTCTCGGTTATTATAATTTAATTTTTCTTGATTATAGGTATGGTCACCAGCGAATGTTCGGTAGTTTAGGCTGGGGTCTAGCCATGTTCTTCGTTGGTATCGCTTTGGATCACAGTACCGCCTTCTCTGAGCATCCATGCGGTCCTGACGCCAGGGAGAAGAATTACACGATCTGTTTCGCGATCTTCAGCGTCCTGATGGGCGCAGCATTGATCACTGCCACGCAAATCAATTTCAAGTACGATGTGATCGAATCGGAACCGGTAAGTGATCGCATAGAGGTTCAAAACCACGTGGAAATATATTATATTCCAATTGTTTCATAGGAAGTGATCAAACCACCTGCTGAACCAACCAGAGAAGAACAACTGCAGAGCCAACTGTCTCAACAGTTGAATCTTCCTAGTCTTCAGGATTCATCGGCTGCAGTGAATCCAAAGCCTCAACCTCCAGAGGGCAAAGTACTAAGAACTGACCACTCTATTTACATTCGTCCTTCGATCGTCTTCTTTAAAAGCCGTCCCTCTTATCGTTTCAGACAAAAATGTTCGCTCAAACGATGCGGGAAATCCCAGAATGGGTGACCGTGTTGAAGCAATTCAAAGATTTGAAGTGCGCCTCTTTCCTCTTCGTCGCCTGGTTCATGGGTTTCGGTATCGGCTTGATCTTCACCTTCCTGTTCTGGCACCTCCAGGACTACGGTGGCACACCCACCTTGTTTGGCGTTGCTTCTGTGATCAACCACGTCTCTGAGATATTCGCCTACTTCTTCAGCTTCAAGTTGATCCGTCAGATCGGTCACGTGAAGGTAGTACATCGTATCTGATAAGGGTAGAATCGCGAAAGGGCAATGTAAGAGAACCGTGACTATTTTATGTTTCCACGACGAAAACGATACGTACATTTGCTTTCAGGTGTTGTGCATGGGACTAGGTGGTAACGTGATCCGTTTCCTCTACATATCCTGGCTGACGACACCATGGTGGGTTCTACCTTTCGAATTCATTCAAGGAATAACCCACGCCGCTGTGTGGGCCGCGTGTTGCAGTTACATTTCGCACAACACACCATCACACTTGCGCACCAGCGCCCAAGGGGTTCTTCAAGGTATACATCATGGTCTTGGCAGGGGATGCGGTGCAGTTATCGGTGGCTTGTTCGTCGATGCATACGGTACGTCCTCTTATCGATTCTAAAGGAAAAGATACAAGAAATCAGATATCGATTCGATTTAGAATATTCACGAGGGATCGGGCTATTATTAGCAGGGTATCATTCTTTCCAACGACCCAATTGTCATAGAGAGGGTTTGTTTCAGGAACGACCGCGACGTTCAGAGCGTACGGCCTGATCTGCCTGGTGGTTCTGGGTGGTTTCGTGTTCATCAACTTCTACAGGAAGGATACGGGCTTCATATCGGACCTACCACCAACGGAGGATCCGCATCAGGTGGCTGAAGCGACGCATTTGGCACCGCACGGAGTACCTAGCAACGCGATTCCTCGTGCCCTCAGCTCTACTCGCCTGCACGAGCTGGGTAATCAAGACTACCAGGCAAACACGAGGTACCAAAACAGGCTTCAACCTACTGACGGTCCTAACATCGGTACAAATGGAGGTGAGTTATCATTTTCTTATCGCTCTGTTCAGTTAATCGAATCCCGTTAATTTTACTACGATCCTCCCCCACACCTTGCAGGCGTGGTGAACCCAACGAATCCATTCCTGAACGGTGGAGGCGGCGGTGGAGGTGGCTATAATTACGGTATGACTGGCAAAGGCGAGGACGAGTATATCCGTAGGAGCTTCCAGGTTTAGTAAAATCATTCTAACTAGAACGTCCACGAGATGACGACGTTTGTTGAAACTTCTACGCAATACTCTCTCTTATATTTCTTTATACATAATGTACCTTTTCATTTTCGAATTTAGAACGTAATGATTTTTCTAATCGAACATTATCCTTTCTTCTATACAGCTCTACAATGAAGTGATCAGCAGAGAATTCGACCTGATTAAACCACCGCCGATAGTGACCCACCTACACGCTCAACAACCATGCACCAACCCCTTCCATCAACACGATTACGAGTGGTAACAGTCCGGGATGTTCGATCCTACTTGAAGAGATCAGGATAACGGGAGATGCTGATCAGATCACGGGAAACTGATCTGAAGAACCAAGAATCGAGCAGGACCAGACTCGAAGAGACGGAACATTTTTTACTCGGTTACCAAAAAGCAAACCCTAGAAACTTCGCGGTACCCCGTCGATCAATCATCAGACTGAATCGATGAAACGACGATTCTAACGTGCCTGGATCACTGAGATGCTCTCACAAATTACTCTCAACGCTTTGACGTCAGTTTCGTGACTTTGGTACGTGGATTTTTTTTTAAATGATAAATCTATCGGTAGCCTCTGATCGGGAATGCGTGCAATTGATAAGGATCGATATCGATCGAGGGGGTATCGAACGGTTTCTGTATAAAACGGGGAGATTGACGTCTATGTCGCGTAGAGGATCGAGTTTCTCGACGAGAATAGGCGCGAAACGAAATAAATACCATCCGATCGATGTATTTTACTAGAAGTGAGAATAGGATGTACAGCGGGGAGAGCGGCGGTATCTTTCGTGACTATCAATCTATCTACATAGTATACCTGACACGTGTAGTAAGGCACAACACGATCTGCGGGGTCGCTTCAACGAAAACATTTATCCTATTTAATGGACTTGCATTTCACGGTGTCGTTTGGGCGTTTCTTTGTCGATTAACGAATATGAACACGATGAGATTAAGAACATAAAGAGGTCTGAGGATGAGCTGATATTCGGTGTTTGCAATGGAAGTCTGGAGGCCTGAAAACCTCAGGGATTCTAATACTGTTCTTAGCGTAGAAATTGACGAAAGGGATGAAACTCAAACGATGCCATGTGCCCTGATGCAAGCAACTCGATGTATTATTGTGTATCTACGTGCGATCGCGTGTTCTGCTTCTCTCGTTTCATCGTGATTCTGGGTCACACGTCTATATCCACTATCCCTCTCGGCGTAAGAATCGAATTAGGCTGTCGACGGAGGTCGTCGACGATATCATTGTAAATACTTATCTTCTATTTCTCTCTCTCTAACTCGCGTGTGAATATTAGAATTAAAAAAAAAGAAAAAAAAAATATGAAAGCCCTGTTCCTTGTTCTCGTTCACCGTTATTTTCTGTTTCTAGGATGAACGTTACTTGTTGCGTGTTATATCTGTAAAATGTTTCACTTGTAACCGTGTAGTCTATTCGAGTATAGAGCTCGTCGAGGTACTCTCTTATCGTTTAAAGCAACCACGTTTCTTGCGTGAGATAGGTGTATAAATATTGTTGAAACTGAGAGATGATGATTAAATCGGATTCTTGATCGAAAGCGGAAACGAGGATACTCGCGAAGGGAACCTAACTCCTTGCACGCCTGACCGGAAAGGAATCGAAGCTTTTGTTTTGAAGGAAACCGAGAGGAAAAATAAGAATATACGATTCGTGTTTATTGGCGAAGAGTTTTCAAATCTCCAAGTTTCCAAACATCCAACTTTCCAAGCTTCCAAATTTCGTAAAGAAAGGAAATCCTTCTGAATACCCTGGATTCGATTCGATTCGGTTCGGTGGGTGAACTAAGCCTAAACGAAGCAGAATCTCGTTTTCCGAGGCACAAGCTAGATACTTTAACACCTTATCGACGACTGACATCCTTTAGTATCAAACTGAAATTACAAAAGAAAACGTCTCATATGAATACTCGTCAACAGCCTCGTCGATAGAGTGTTAATCAGAGTTCAACCTAAAAGAAGATAAGACATAGGCGTCGTATGCAACCGAGTGCTTTAGCTCAGTATTGTTATATAAAATACAACTATATATATATATATATTTAATCGTAAGAGTGTGGGTCAGAATGAATTCGTGTCTAAGGGTGCGTTTCAACAACCACCCTGGATTAGTTTTCGAGGACATCTTCCACCGAAATCGAGCATAAACTTAGGGAAATATAACGAGCATGAAACGAACAGATAATCATAATGATCGGAAGAGAATTTTCATCGGAACCAGATGGAAATAAAAAGAGATTCAACAATGTACGCACTCATACCCGCCTTGACCATAAAATCATTAGCCGTCGATATTAACCGATATTGTTCTGAAAGCTTCTAGTGTTCACGTTTTCTCGTGTCCCTATTAATTATTGTAGAAAACTACTTTCAACAGAGAAATGATGTTTCAACTACAATTACTCAAAAGTCTTCCCTAACATTTACACGAAACCGCATAATTTTTCGAAAATGAAAAAAAAAGATATTCTCAAGAAAAAGTACCAAAAGCAGAAAGACAACGATCGAAGCCGATAGAGTGGATGCTGATTTCAATTGCACCACTTCTTTTCACTCAGAACAAACAAAGAATCCTATATTCGTAATAAATCAAGGGACTTGATAAAAATGATATTCGGCGAGGAACACATCCGGCGAACTTGATACATATCATATAGCTGTTAAGTTACAAATCGATGTAATTATCCGAGGAAACATCGTTTCGCATGTGGCTTTTTCGTTCAGCCTCGTGTCATCGACAGATAATGTTATCTTTTTTTTTTTTAAGAGAATCTTGCTCGATCAAGACTGAAATGTAGTTTAACACGTTCGCTGTCGAGCCTTACAGATTGATCGAGCACGCGATATCGAGTGACCGACAGCGAAAGCGTTAATGAATTCATTAGGATGGCTTGTCGGAGGATTCATGTGCGAAACGCGATAACGATAGCTGTACTATAGGTATAGCATTATTGATAGACAATTAACAGAGAAATATAATATACGGTAATAAAATGTAATTAATATACAGTTTGAAAAAAAAGAAGCATTAAGTGTATTGAATTTCCCTATCTTTAATCATAGTATACTTATTTCAAAATAAAACTGGCTGTATGAATTACGAAGGACATTAAGGATTAAAGTTTTTAATTTAATGTATAGAACTTTCATTCCATAATAAGAAAGAGAACATTCTATTGAATTATGTACAATTATGTATATGTTACACCATTGATCAATTACTTTTGTACACCAACCACAGAAATTGCCAAGGAGAAAAGAAGAGATAACGTTTAGCTTTGTTTATTGGAGGCACCAAGCAACATTACAGATCATGCACTTTATGCGATAAAAAATGAAATGAAAGAAAAAGAAGAAAATATATTTTTATTTTATTTACATATTTCATGCAAACGACGCAATTATCGGCTGTAAGTTTCAAGTAAATAAATTTTCTTGATTTATATAGGATGCGAGAAGAATCGTGTGGGTCAAGATTAACACGAGCAACACTTGGTAAATAAAGGTTTTATTCTATTATTCTTCTTGCCTATCGATTTACTTATTTGGACAAAATTACGACTAGAGGCACTAGTCAAGCTTAAAATCTAGCTGAACTACGAGAAATTCGTAATTTAATGCTCGATGTTCTCTATAACTAAAACGTTTCTTTTTTTTCTCCGAATACACACACGGTTTCAGAGATGAGAAATCGGAAATCGTGTTGTAGCTGACTAGATCTAATTGATAATTAAATAGTCGCTAATTATTAGCTCACTCGAAAAATTCTTTTATCACTAAAAATGGTGTTCTCTATCGTTTATCGATCAGTGTTCAAGTGATTTGTATATAAAGTGTGTACGTGTATGTATATGTATTTTATAACGCGAGAACGGTTTATTAAAGATACGTGAAGATTACGGAAGAGTCAAATAGAAAAACCGATGCGACTCGTTCTCTTTCTTATTGTTCTACATTAATAAAAACGCTATCCTAAGAATGTAAAATACTGGCGGCTTTTACCTTATCATGAATTCCCTACGAATAATGTGACGTGGAAAAAAATTGATAAACACGTGTCCGAGTCTATTTACCTCTATATGTATCACGTGTTTCTGGTAATTCTAGTAATTAACACGTTAGCTACCACAGTGGAAGAAATCATTGCTACTATTTAAATCAAAATTCATTCTCAATTAAAGCTTTCCACTTGCTACTTTCTGTTATTTAAAATTTATTTTTATAATTCCATGGCAATCAACGTGTTAACTCTTATTTTTATCACTCTCCTGTGTACACAATGATGTACACATAAAATAATTGCATCGTTCAGCAATTAACGCAGTCGTGCTATATTTACTGGTAAGATGTTACGTTCTTTATTTGTAATCGATGAAAATTGAATAAATACTGCATGTGTAATGTAACATGAGACTGCATTATTCACCGTATTAGTTAAATATTGGATGATAAGCGTAAGCGGGAAAGAGGCGGTTCACAATAACTTGCATTCAAACTTATTTAGTTAAGAAAGCGCCACGAAAAAAACTCGTTAATAGATCACAGTACGTATTAAATGCAATTATTATGCTTCGAAGAATTTTCCATTAAGTAACTAAGCGAACATCGACTGAATTTAGCCTCCTACCATTGGCATTATGCTATTTGGTATCCTTTCCTTATTGGCACAAATATATATGTTTACCGTATTCTTTGAATCGTTGTACAAAACCAGAATGAAGACAAGTAATATAAATAAGTGAACCAAAAAAGAAAGGCAAAAAACTTATTCCTATCGGTAAGTAACGTTCAAGAAGCTTATGATAAACCTAAATTCAATAACTGTACCCTACTGAACTAATACTTCTTTCACAGAAGTGATTGTTTTCTCTAACTATACATCGTGTGTAATTACATATGTATATATAGATGCGTGTGTGGGTGTATATATAATACTTCAAATGAAATGAATTTTTGCACAATTGTTGTTTCTCACGCAAAACTGGACCGACACCGGGCAGTGTGTCATTACGGCAGAATCGCATTAATTGTTATAATACTGGCACAGTGAGGCAATGATCTTAGGACTCTCTAAGCTATTAATAATAATGTAATTCTACATTCATCTATCGGACTCATACTTTCACGCTAATTGCTCTTGAATTCATGCATACCGTCACATTTGCTCTCTATTAAAATCAATTTGATAACAACATCGAACTGTCGAGGGCTGATTCTTCGTTAACGATACTATAAAACTAACGTAACTCACTACTTGACGAACGATCAAAAAATATATATATAAATATATATATATTTAAATGAAAACTAGTTATGAAAAGATTGTATCGCGCCGACAAGCAACCAATTCCTGTCTCTCCTTTCGTCGAACTTTGCAACGAATCACACGTATTAATTTTTCGCACGATTATTCTTATATACTTGGTGTCACAGCCTTCAGGGATGTAACTTGACGCGCGTTTTTATCGTTGCTATTATCTCTAAATTAGCTTAGGAAAAAATACTGCAGGCACGAGTCAAATCTCGACGTGTTATTTCGATTTTAATCTTTTCTTGTACGAACGACTTGAAGTAACTTTACGTATATGTATATACCAAGGTATTTTATTCTTTTAATTTTACGTTAAAATATCACTACAAGAACTTCTTTTGATAATAAGATTGATCGATGGATATGTATCGAATTATTTCTTCGTAAAAATTTTTTCGATTCCAATGACTGATCGTTTGAAGGAAACATTTAAGTTCACTACTACGTACTGATTAGGAAAGGAGATCCTTTCCCGTTCTTCATGTTCACAGTCGCGACTACGTTCTATAAAAAAATGGTCGAAATTGACGTCGTACTATAATAGATTAAGATTAAAATTCGAAGTATCGAAAGTGTTACGTTTAAATCCTATATTTAAAACTGAGCAACTATCGAATCGTAAAACCTTCGACGGCTCGAAGACAAAATATCCTCCTGGACATAGGAAGAGGCTTGTCTTTTTTTCTACTTTTATACACTCTGAACACGATGCATAATGCGACAAACAGCAAAAGCAAACCTGCGTGGGGAGATCCTACGATTTATGCTTTACTGATGCCGCATTCTGCCGTATCATAACACGCTGAACGAGCGATCTAGTTTGCAGTAGGAACTACATAATCTGCCACCCGAAACTCTGTTTCATTTGTCGAAATCTTATCGTTACTCTGACCTAGTCAGATATCGACCTCAAACATATCTTGTTCGATCGGTTTTTTAACCCAACTCCCAAGATGTGCCTTTACGAAAGCTTCCTTCAATTGATGCTTGGCAAGCTGTTGCATAGAAAAATTAAACAAAATAATAATCGGCGCAATTTGTACACAACGGATAACGTGAATATCCCACGAGTACTTACCGAGTAATTTTGCACGGATGACTTCGCATCTAAATAGTGACGACACTGATTCTTGTCAGCGTCGTCGATGGTTTCCAGTTTACCAAGTAAGTTGTAAAACCTTCTGAAAAGTCCTTGCTTCGATATTCTGGAAGGCTTACCCAATTCGTCTTTCCCCGTTGTGCAGTTTATTACCTCAGCGTCAGATTGACCTGAAAAACGCGTGAAATTATAATAAAGGTTCTATAAACGCCTTTTAAACCACCACGTACCGATTGTCCAATTAACGCTATAATTAGGCGCTTTCCCGGGTTGTCTTACTTCGGAAGATGTGATTAGACTCATTAATGGCTTATTAAGCCTGTACGGTGGCGGTAGACCTTGAATTGTGTTTTCGATACGCCCGCAGACCGCTCTATACATATGACTTGGGTTCAATAGACTGCCAAGAACGATGCTGTGGAAGTAAATTGGCTCGATGAAGTGGCTTAGAAGTGCACCTTGCACACCAAGTACGTTCCACCGAGCTATTTTGTCCGAACACGACATCGTCAGCAGTCTTTGGCCCTATAAGTTGAAGTAAACGTTTGCGTATGCGAATGTTTGCACAAAAAAAAAATAAAAACAAAAAAATTTGATGGAAACTGTTTTTCTATTGCGTGCAACAACACTGATCGCATACCATCAGTACACCGTCCCACGTTTGGATACCTTCGCTGCTTTTCACCGGGATCGTTCCTTCTCCTGATTCTATTTTAGTTCTCAATTGACCCCTGGCTCTTCGATTCGGATGCTTATCAACAGACTCGTTTTCCTCGTGAGGCGAGAAAATTCTGGCATCACCGCACGGAGCGGTATTTATGTATAAATGAAACTGAATACCCTGCTTCAATTTGAATCCTTTCTTCATACATTCTAAAATCGACTCTGCCGCACGATCTTCCGCGTGAAGTTCTAACTGTTTATATAAATATTCGCATAAACATCTCCTGGCTACTACTTCCGCATGGCAATCGTTTAAAGCGCCACCGCTGACGCTCAAGTGTTCTCCAGAGACACACTTGGTACCTTTTATTTGAAACAGATAAATATTGTAAAGCTATTGTGCATCTTAAGTTCGGGAAGCAATTTAAGGCATACGTGAAAATTGGTCCTCACCGGTTGTTACGCATATCAATTCCGCTTCTGTACCCTTTGTTTGAACAATACCCGCCAAAACCTTACGTCGGGCATGCTGCGGTTTAGACTGGATAAGTTCGCTAAATTTTTGGTTCACCATCTTACCAATCTTATCGGCTAACATCTGAGGTAACGACATCTGCTCTTGCCAGTGACCACTGTTGGAAAAGTTTGGTAAGACACGTACAGGAAGCGGTATACAAAACGAGGAACTGTGAACGTTTCTCAGCTTAGCCAGTGCCGCTTTACTGGCTGCAGCTTTAGCTAATTTTTTACTTGGTCCAGTTCCTTCAAACGTTTCTCCGTCAATGGTCACCGATATCGTAAACTTTGCGTAACTTTCTCCGTTATCGGATACGCATTTGTATACGACACCCGGATACAATTCATTAATAAGCGCTACGGGCCCTTTTTCTAAAAACTTGTTTGTACTTTTTGGTTCTTGGGTTAGTGTTTTAAACGCGTTGACTAGATGATTATCGCGCTCCGTAACATCGCTAGTAAAATCGGGCTCGAGGGGTATCGAGGGTTGGCAAGTATTAATCGCTTGATGGACTTCCGGTGTATTTCTGAACTGAATAATGTTTCGTAAAGCGAGCTCGGCTGCGGCGTGTTTTGCCATTTTCTTAGTACGACCTTTGCCCTCGTACGTTTGTCCATCTATCTGTACCGCTATTGTGAATATTGGAGCATGAGTAGGGCCTGTTTGTTCCACAACCTTGTACACAGCACCAGTTTTCAATTCATTCAACGCGCATACCGCATTCTTTGGCTGTGGATTCTTGTGCCGTTTCTTTACGGTTGTAACACCTGATGAAAAAAGAAAGATAAGAAATAGATTAATCCATTGGACGCTTCGCCAAGGCTTCTCCCTTGGCTCAAAACAACTTAAACCTTCCAGATTTATAAGGTGATCCGTGTTCTGCTTTTATCAAAAGGTCAATTTTAATGTGTACATGCGTAACAACTAATTGCTGTTCAATAACATTATATAGACATTGGATCTGCCACTGACCTTCAGGCTCAGCTTCAAAAGCCCTTTTCAGCATGGGTTTCAGCACATTTCGCTGCTCCATCTGTGAAAAAGAACAATAAGCTACTACTTGTGGTATCGAAACAGGATTTCTGTTCCAAAAATAACCTTAATTAACTAAATCTTACCCCTGTCAAGTGTGGCTCCTGCAATCCCACCGCGGGAGTTGCAGCAGTAGTAGTACAGATCATAGATGTGTTGTAGTCTAAGGGGAAAACAAAAATAAAAAAATAAAGAAATAGGTAAGCCGTTTATGCACGATGCTGCAATAAGAGAAATCGATGTACGAAGAATGTTATACTTGTTTCGTTGGTGTTTTTATCATTGTTCAACATTTTTAATCCGTTCGACATTTCTCATACAAACAGACCCTCGTTGAAAAAAAATACACTCGGGAAAATCCGTGTCTCGAAACACCGCACTGTTACATTGATTTTAATTATACTCCTACTGCGATGTCCGCAGCGCCACTACTGCTGTTTTTTTTTACAGTCTCAAACATAACCTTAATCGTTCGTGATGCATTCCATTGAAATTGCCCACGGAAAGTGTTTGCACGCGATACACGGATAAAGAGTTCATGAAAAACCAGAAAAAGGAAACGTCTGACTGACGGAGATATTAATCAATCTACCGTGACAATACGGCTTGCACCTGGCAGGCGCAGATTGTTTATTGCGCAGAATACTGCGCATCGCGACAAATAAATCTGGCGCGTGGAGTCGATTTTAAAAGCAAGGAAGCTCTTTCGCTAGAATCAGGGTAACGATGCACAAAAAGTTGCAAGTGCAATAAAGACAGAAGAGACACGCGAATGCATATACAACATCTTGTTTTCATGTTCCTAATTTTTCCTGAGAATGTCCAAAAATAGTGTTGCACGATAATCAGGAAAACTGTAATTATCGTTCCTCTACTTCTCTCTGCCCTTACTTCCCGCCATAATTTTTACGTGAACGTGTCATTAACATTTGTAAAAATACGTATCACCCAAACGATGCCTAAAAAGATCAGTGCATATACGTTCACCTTGTTCCGTTGTTTCCACCAGAAGCGTAGATTCATCCCATGTCAAAGAAGAAAATGATACGCAATTCGACAACATTGGGATATACGTACAATCAATCCATTCCCTCGGCAATACGTTTGCTTTCTACGAATAAATGCGTCATTTTTGCTCGGACATTCTGACAGAATGAAAATATAAATAAAATTAATTGTTTACCTCTCTGGTTAAATTGTTATTATTTTGTATCATTTTCTCAGGTATTGGCGTGCTAGTCCTGAAAGGCACTTGCATTTTCTCGACGCAACAGTTGCATTCCATCAGATAATCACGTGCGTCGGTATTCTGTATGTCGTTGTTTGTGACGATTACTAATTGGCAAGTTTTGCAAAAGTTGTTTTCCGAATGTAGCCTTCCTTTAGCTTTTCTTAGCATGTATCGAATTTGTTTGCGGAAATTTCGAACACTCTTGTGATACGGATTAGGACACTTAAACGCATCGTTCGGTTGCGTATTCATGATGGTTTTTTCGTATCTCGAATACATATTAAAAAAAGGTACAAAATGACTCCAATGTACAAGGTTGATGATTATAGATGGTTGAATAAAAAAACACTAATGGACCACGAAGAACAAAGCACCTTTTAGGAAATGTTAGCGGATATCTTGAAAAATAACGCTAACGTTATTTTTCTTTAGCGAAGATTAGTCACGAGCCGGGTCTTCCGTTCCTTATCATTTTATTGATAGTCCACGTTGGTTTACTAAGCACGCGAGTTTTTCTTCGTTTAACAGCCGTTAATTAGCTTAATGATTATAAAAAAGTATTTTCGTAAAAAGTGTAATACAGTAAGCATCACTGTTATAAAACTGTAAAGCACAGTATCAAATGTTTTTTACACTAAACACCATAAGAAAATATATCAAAGTGAAAAACCGATTCGAACGATGGTCCACCTTCGATGACGTTCTAAAGAATACTGACGGGAATTACGACCATGTCACAGTATAGGAAACAATCTTTCCTATACTGTGACCATGTCCTTCACGTTCGGCCACCATGAAAGACAGCCAGTCTTCCTTGTCGGGGGGATATCAAAGGCACGTGTACGTATACATTGTACTTTCGTTCAGTGTTTCTGGGAAATGGTAATAGTACGCCTACAGGGAATATTATCGATTTGTTTTTGTCATCAAAGACCATGCTTTTTTATTATGTTCATTAACTGTAGTTTCACTTTTTTTCTGCGTAAAAATCTGTTTAAATACACCATACTACTCATTTCCATTATGGTGTATACGTATACATAGAGTCTTCATTTATGGACATTGTATTTAGTTCTTTTACGTTTCACCATTAATCAGGATACAGTAAAAGCTGGATAAGTGCAAGAGAAATTGGGACACAAACATTGCATATAGCCAGCCGAAGTGTCGATTCTATGTTATTTATTCTATTATTATTGTTAGCTTGTAAATTACTTTAATTTTTAATAGGAAGAAACTGTCTGATTTCATGGAAATCACGGGCTTTTCCTAACATCATAAAGCACCTAATTAGCAGTCAATAGTTCCGCAGCATATTCTGAATAAATAAATAAATATAATTTAAACTATATCGTGTTTAGTATCATTTTAATCGGAAAAATCTCACAAATGCGTTAGGAAAACATCAAAAATAAAAAAATTTTATCGTTGAATTAGGATTAGTTACACCGATATTGCGGTTCGGATTACACAGATTCCTCGTCGAGCTTCTCGGTTCGCCAAGGGGTATCCCCCATGCGTAGGGGATAGCCACCTTGCACTTATTCAGTCAATCTTTTCTTGCACTGTTGGAAATCCTATAATAAAAAATAACAAAAACTGAAACGAGTAGAATAAACGTTATTGTGCCCATCCTCATTTCTCTGGTGATATATAAATCTATACATATAAATAAAATTGAAGTGTCTGTCTGTGATTTCGAAATAATGGTTTTTTTAGCTCATATATGGTTTTTCGTACCTTGCTAAAACCCAAATACGCTTTTGCAAAATTTTTGTCTGTCTGTCTATCTGTCTGTTTAAACGGACTAATCTCCGAAACGATTGAACCGATTTTGACGAGACTTTCATTGGTAGGTTCAGAATTTATAGAGTAATAATTTAGACTTCTTTTTATTCTGGAAATATTCAGAGTTTTCACGAAAATTTAGAAAAACTGTCAAAATCAGGCGCTAATGAGGCAACTTTTTTATAGTCCGTTTATGCGAACGAAGTCGTGGGTAATCGCTAGTGGTAATATAAATCACAGTGGCTTCAAATCAGTGCACCGAATTTTGTTTATAGGATAGCGATAGCGAAAAGTGTCATTTGATCTTTTCTTTTGACTGTTGGTGCCTTATGCCTCTTACTATCCCAGTCGCTCTGTAATCCTTGAAGAATAATGATCTGTTCATAACGAATATAGTATATTTTTATTCAAATATCCCATAATATCCAACATGTACTTATCCAGCTTTTACTTAATAATTTATTAAGTATTTTTTTTAACAATTAACTTTCTCAAGTGGTTGACGTAATATCGTGTAAATTTTATTAATTTGTAATTTTACATGTATCTTACGTGTACGTAAATGAGTGCAAAAGGTAGATCCAGGCAGGTATCGGAATCAAGTTGGCCACCAGCAACCATGGTAATAAACGACCTTTTTGAGTGGTGCGGACTCTAACGAAATTACGGTCACCTACCTTTGCAAAATTAATTTCTATAATTGCTTTATCGGCGTCGTAAAGAGCCACTCTAATCTCCGAAATATGGTTTTTCGCATGGTCGTGTAATAAATTAATAAACACCCTGCAGTACGGGAGCAGCAAAGTTTGTAAATTGAACCACCAGCGATTTGTTATCAGTGTTTTGAGTGCACTTTCTTGATTAATCACCGAATCATTAACCATCGTAATCTCGACTTCTAATGTGAACATTCAAATAACAACATGATAAGGTAACAGTTGAAATGCCGATATATACTTGTGCATTAGTATCGGGTTCCCTTTGAATCGAGAAGATCGGTAACGAAAATGATTTGGAACTGTCGATTAATCTTCCTCTTGACAATTATTCTGATTATGTTGGTGAGCTATCATTTTCACCACGTCGAGTGATTTTCGCGTCGTTAAGATAAAATTGTGTACCACGTATCCAACCCCTTTGTCTTATCTTCTGAATAATAAATTTCTTGCAACAGAAATCAATTCTTTATAAATCTTATTACGAGAGCACTTTGTATTTGCATAAATATCCTTAGATCTCAATCACAAAAGATCGTCTTGTTTCAGGATCTCGGTGAAACAGACATCAGGAAGGATTGTCGCAGAGAGTCGAAGGTTTCATGGGGTATATTCAGTCAAACGTTTGCAATAGTTACTTCTAAAGTGATCGATGAAAAGGAAACCTTTTTTCCCCTCCTTTGTTGAATCTGTTACAGCCGCGCTAAGAAGAATGAAGTCTGGAGACTTCGAGCAAGACGACCCGAGATTGAAGTGTTACTTGAAGTGTTTTATGGCGAGGAACGGTATTCTGGACAGTGACGGTGAGATAAATGTGCAAAGAGCTCTTCGACATTTGCCACGGAGCTTGCAGGACTCTTCAAGAAAGTTGTTTAACACGTGCAAGTCTGTCCGTGAGTATATGACGTTTGTCTTTAGAACGATTTTACGATGTCGAAAGTTTATCCTATATGTTAACGCTTTGATGAACCCAGAATGCTTGCAATTTCACTCTTTGTTTTTTAAAAATATTTTTCGTCAGAAAAATCTTTTCTGTTTTCAGCTGGAATTGATCCTTGCGACAAAGCTTTTCAGATCGCCAAGTGTTACGTGAACCATCATCCAGAGGTATGTACATATGTAGGTAGATTTCAATGCGAAAGAACGAGACCGTTGGATGAATTTCGTGCCTCGTGTTGCAGATTTTACAGAGCGTCCCTTTCATTTAGAGAGCTCTTCACCAGAAAGCCACTCTAGTTTCAAGTATAAGACGAACCCTGGACGGTGCTGTGCCGCTTTCTAATGAGAAAATAAAGAAAATCAACACTCGCATGATTACGATTATTGAAAGATTTGAAAGTTCCGTACGGGTGGATAGCGTTTCATCGATGAAGAATATTCTTCGCTCCGCTAAACAAACTGAATCTGTCAAGCGAAACTTTTGACGAGTTAGATTTTGTATCGGACATCTTGCGGAAATTAGCTTCCGTCAGTTTTGCAATATTTTCCTCAGTTTTTTGTTGTTCGTCAACGTTTAATCTCTTAAACTTCAGTTAACATTTAGGATCAGATGCTGTATTTATCGAGAAGTTCTTTGTTATTATTCTATTATCGCATTTGTAGCAGTAAAATAATAAGATAATTACCCTGATTTATACAATGCCTAACGAAAACTACGCGAAGCGAAAGTATTAATTTATTCGAATGAATTCGAGGAAAGACTCGAAGCGAAGGAGTCGACGAAGCTGTGCAAGCCTCGTTCGCGGAGGAAGTAAGACTTTGGGTGGTTTCTTCGGTAAGGCTGGTGCGCGTGCCTTTAGTCGACTTCTGAAAACGTAGCTTAGGTCGTGTGTCTATATTCAACGGGGTGGAACTGGGTCACAGTTCTGCCCATCGGGGTATTAAAACAATCTCTAAGCTCTCCCGCACGGATGGAAAAGAGCGCGGGGAGTTATGCCGAGGGTGGTGGAGATGGTGGTGGTGGTGAGAGGGCAAATAACACACAGAGAAAGAGGAATGGCACGCGTAGGAGAAAGAGCAAGGGTGAGAACGATGAAAAAAGAAAAAAGAGGTAGAAGTGGTGGTGATGAGTAGGGGTAGCAAATGGCGAAAAGCGAGAAGGCTAAATAAGGGAAGTGGCAAGCGAACGACGGAACGTATAATGACGCACCCCACTCGACTAGTCCTTTTGTTTCTTCTGTTTGGACTTTGAACGTGTCAATTTGATTGTTCATTTTAAGAGCTGCCTTTCACGTTCATGTTTCACCGGTGTATTTTTTAAATTCTTCTTGAACGAATGCGACCAGGCTTTTATATGATTCCTCTGAATGAAACTTAATTATCGAAGAAATGAAAATAGAAATGGAGTGGAGAAGGTAGATAGGTGGAGAACGAGGTGCACAGCAGGGGACGAAGGAAAGAAGTTTAAGATTCCGGAGAGAAGTTTATCTTGGTGAATGGTGAGGGGTATGGTATCTCGTGTTCGCTTTACAAAACACCCGTTATTAAACCAGTAGAACGAAGAGGACAGTTAGGTGGCGAGGTAACCCTGTGATCTAAGGGGTGGATTTAGCCCGCTAATCCTCGGCTCTCCGTTTAATCCGAGTTCCACCGAATTTTCCAGCTCGGTACACAGCTACCGAGAGAAAGGAACGTTCCTGATTGGTCATTCCTCGTTTCGTAACCGGCTTCGTTATCCTTTTGTCTCGATGGTTAAGAAATAAATATCTCCTCGCTCCCTTCTTCGCAAGAAAAATGTGATTCGAGAAAAATTTCAAGGGGACACGCGACCTATTCCTGATACGACAGTTCTGTTTAGCCAAGTATCCGCTTGTGTCAAACGCCCGTAGTTTGCTGCGTGCTGTTTCTTTATTGTAGGAGTCCGTCGCTCTATGTTGAACTTTTATTACATCTGCAAGTTAAAGGAGGAATTTTGGGAATCGGTTTATAACTTAGGGAAATAAAATACGGAAAAAATATGTTATTATACCAGGGGTTCGACTTCGTTCGACTTTCACTTAATCCATTTATTACTCGAAGAGGTCATCGTTTATTACCTTTCTTGCTTTCACCGGACTGGTACTACCTGTGCACTATGCAAGTTCGGTACCTCCACGTGGACTAGGAGGTACACTTGCGTTTGCAAAAGGCACCCAATCAGAAAAATTCCAAATTGACCGCCTACGATGAATTTTAACCAATACAGGAACCATATCGTGTTTGGTATCATTTTAATCAGAAAAACGTCACAAATATCTAGGTAAAAGTTTTATAAGAAAAAAATGGAAAATAATAAAGTTCAGTCGTTGCATTAGCGATCGTTGACGATGACGTTGCATCCCCTAAATTTCGTTTGTCTCTATCGTTCGCCGTGAGAGAGCAGAAACTTCCAACCCCTGACTGCTGTTTCGCATCGGTCGTTAAAAACGTACGAAATGAAAGTTTCATGCAAACGACTATGCAAAGCTTTCATTGATATTCTTAATACCAAATGTCTGCTTCTCCTTTTCTCTCTACCTGTCTCTTTACACTTCCGTGAATTATCTTCGAAAAACACTGGTCGCTTCGTTTCTTTTCCCGCTGAATCGTCGTGAATTATGGGCGGCAAACATTGACGAAGATTTCGTCGACCACCATACCGATTAAGGTGGATCAATGTTTACAGAGTGGCGAAATAATCCCCGATTCAAAGAGAATCGGTGATCCAATATTTGAAAGACCGTGTATCGAGGTCCTCCGGGAATTTCTAACTGTGAAACTCTGCAGCTGCTCAAGGCGATGCTGTTGCTTGTACTTTGATGAGAACTCTGATCGTTTGAGAATATTTGCTAGAAAAATGTCAACTTCAAGAATACGTTTTTGTCGTGCAACAACATAGTTGGTGATTAATCGATAAGAGAGTGCTACGTGTCCAGCAGACGGTCAAGAAGTCGCGATTTTCGGTGATTAAAATCGGGAAATTGTTCGTTTGACCGACGAACAATCGAACGCGTCAGGTTTCGATCGCAAATAATGAAAGAGGAAAAACAAAGGAGGAGAATTTATTATGGGCCAGAAAGGAGAGGTGATATTTGGGACGTTTGTGGAGGTAGCCTGGTCTGGTGGCGTTACCTGGCGCCTTTCCAACAACGTGTTCGCACTTTTTAGTCCGTTGGTATTTGGTCGATTGTACGGCGACGATACGTCTGTGTGGACGCTTTTTACGCGAGTTTTAAAACATTTGGAAATATGGAAAAGAAAAAAAGGAGAAATCCGAAAAGTTTCGCTTTAGGGTAGCTTCAAGTTTTTACTGACAAGTAAAATCAACCCCCGCCTATATTTAAGTGGATCACGTTTGTTCGAAGATATAATTCATCGTTGGGCCAGGTCGAAAATTGTCAAGGGAAAACGAAGGGAGAAAATGAAATTCTCCTCATTGTAGGAGAACTTTCTCAATCTCGCTGGACTCGAGTGCCCTTTTATCGGCCCGGTAATTAACTAGCTGACGATTTTTCTCCGCTACAACGGTCAATTTAAACTTTATTAATGAAGGGACCACGTCTCATTAAACCGTCGTCCTTAGCTATCAACCAGCTAACGTCTAATCCGACCGCGATTACCGTGTTTTTACTTTATTTCCCGCCACCGTGTTCTTACATCTTTTCAGTACACTCTACTTATCTTTGTACCGCTAAAGCCTCTTAAATTATTTATTAAAACAAGAGAACAAAATTGTTAGTAGAAAATATAGAAAGGATCGATTTGATTAAATTTTTTCCCCAGAAATCACCTGTATTTCAGGACAAATAATTTATTTTTCAAAGCATCATTCCCACAAGGATCGTTGGATGTTCGAGGGTAATCGACTGGGTCAAAACGGGGTACGTTGATCGTCAGGTATATCGTTTCATAGATTCTCGGACGAGGCTGGTTTTAATTCATTCGTGCGACCAAGTAGGAGAAACGGAAAGAATGAAGGTACTTGGTTTTCAATGGACCGTCGTAAAAGTGCAGCAGCCGCAGTGCACGTGAAAACGACAGGAAAGGTCGAACGAAGATTAATACTGCGCCAGAATCGCGAGTTTGCTTATGCTTTTCGATTGTACCCGTCCGCTATTACGATCCACTCGTTCTTAAAGTTTCGAGGAAAGAGGCTCGGTGAATCATTTCGTAGCCTTTTCATCCCTTAACGTATTCATCCATCCGACGATGATCGATATAATTTGCCATACTTATCTGCCTCTCCCTCTTTCTTTCGCTATCCGAGCGTAACAGACAAAGTGTAACCGATCAAGAAATAAGCTGCCGACCGATAAACCTGGAGAATTTCGTCAGCTTACGAAAAAGCGATTTTCTTCGGGAATTCACCGGGGGAAAGAAAGTATCACCCGCTATCGAGTGGAAGACGAGCGACTTGTAACAAAATACAGGATCAACCTCGTGACCCGATTACCGCAGCCGGAGCTATGGCAGTCAGCTGTTCGAAAATGTTCATATTGCCGTATATGGGACACGGCACACACGTGTGCACCGCACACGGTCCTTCGAAAACTATTCTGAAGCCAGTTCGCCTAACTAAAATCGCGAGAATATGATCCTTGCCAAGAATTCATTTGACATTTTATTCAATCTCTTTTTTTTTATAACTTGACATTTTACAATAATTAATAGCGTTTCTTAAAATCATAAAGGGTTCGATCTACAAAAATCTCCCTCGAACCAGGATTTTATCAGGATTTTATGTCATCGATATCCGTTCACGTTTTACAACGAAATCTGTCAGCAACGTCGACGTTTGTCACGATTATCTCCGAGGCAGACAGTAATTCATGTTTTCCCGTAAAATTCCACTGTATTTACGTTGCAACAATAATTCACCGTTGTTTGACGTGAAACTAATCGAACGGTAGATAGGTACTGTGTATCGTCATTTAAATTGTCCGGTTATAAAATCGAGCGGCGTCTAGCCGAGAAAAGAACTGCCAACGCGAAATAATAATCGACGAACGTTTATCACGACACGTTTGTTCGCGTTAATATTTCATCGACCGAACATCATTCGACGAACCTTCAAAATTTCCAAATTTCCCTCGTGAGCATTCGTTTCGTAAGTTTGAGCACCTGAAACCTAAGAACTCAACATGTGTGATCATTGCTCGTAAGTGACACAATCTCGATGAAAACCTAAATTAGCAGTGGAAATGATTTAATTGTTGACTATGTTGTTGTAGAAAAGTTACCGGCCAGAAAGGATATCAAGGACAAGTGACTTGCAAATGCGAGCAGTGAGTATATTAACATAAACCCGGAACTATGTATTTAATTAGGTAATAACGTTTGGTGTATCTTAATTTCTAGCGGGGAGAAGAAGAACGGCGAAGGCAAGGATTTTGGAGGATGTTGTTCCAAAAAGTATGATCCTTAAGTTCTTTTCCACCTTCTACCTTTGTTCACCAAATTTCTTTAACCATTAACCGAGGAATTCGAGTTGAAAGTCTGATAATCAACGCGTTGACTGCCATGGACATTAATTGAAATTTAGTCAAATAATCGAAGAAAGTTTCAGATGTTACCAAGATAACGTTTCCTCTGTTTCGAGTACCTGTATGGCCGCCAGCGTTCAACAAAAAAATAAATCTACTCCCTTCTCATCCTTAACGAGTCTAATTTAATCAAATTTCGGGAGGCACAACAGATGCTTTACCTTAGACTTGTATTAAAAAAGATGGTGCATCCAATGGTTAACCGAATTGCTCGACTGAATTGTGCAGAGAGAAAAAAACAGTCGGCGGATGTTGCGGTTCTAAATGCTGCTCTGGGGCGGAGGAGCAGGGAGGATGTTGTACCGGAGGTGCATCGAAGGAAACGAAAAGTTGCTGTCAATAATCGTGTTTCCTACCTAAGAAAGCTTTAAAAGAACATCGAAAATGGGACTGAACAACGGGTAAACATTACAGTGTTAAAAGCCGGGCTAGGCGGCCATATAGGTTTCTACAGGGTGTTAAGAAGAAAAGGATTAAAAATTTAACAGAATGGTTTTGAAATTCAATGAAAGTTGCTTAGCGAACGTATCAGTCCAGTTGTTTAGCTACTTGATGAAATTGCTTGCTGAATTATTGAGTCGTACTACTTGTTCTGAAAGTCGCTATGCTCTCTTCTCGTTTCCGTGTTTGTAAATAGCGTTCCACGTGTCCTACCCTTTCTAAATACGTTTAATATGTTTCATTGAAATATTAATCGTAATATCAATAAGACTTGTTCACCATATTTTTGCGATTTTTATTGAACCGTCTCGAACCCTTTCCTCTCAACATCCTGTAGAATTTCCAAGTGGACTAAGAGGATTTACAAACGCGAGACAATCCTTTGACATTTTACTGTCTAGCCAAGCGATTTCTTCCTCGTAAATCTTTTCCTATCGTAGTTTCAAACGTCGGAATTAGGATGTTAACTTTACAAGTTTCGCAAAGAAACAAAATCCGATAAAGAAATCTGCGCTTTTTTAAAAATCATTGTGTCCGATTAGCCTTCGTTGGACACTGTACAATGCAAATTGTTATTGCTTTCTAGGGCAAGAGAGTCAGCTGGTGGGTGTTGCATGTCCGGTTGCTGCAAGGATAAAAACGGAAAGACGAAAGAACCGGAAGCTGTTTCGAAATGTTGCGCGGACCGGAAATAAGATTCACTGAAACGCCAAGATACACTATACTTTTGTCAATGAAAATTCTGCATTAGATATGTAATTTTTTAACTTTGATAAATAAATCGACGTTTTCAATAAGATACAAGCGTGTCTTTTTTATTAATCGAAGCGTACCTATCCTGTTCCTAATCGATCGATTGACAAGTGATGAATAATTTTGAAATTAGTCACAGAATGAAACGCAACAATCGAAAATTGCACCGAAGCTTCATATGTTCAAAATTATTTCATACGTCATTCAGCTTCTGGTCAACCTCAAAATTCTTCAAGTATCATGTGCGATCATTGCAAGTACGTATCATCCTAGGTCTACACTTTAATCAAACGTTTCACGAAATCATAAATCACCGATACGCTTTCAGAACTTTCAAGCCGTTGCTCGGAGGAACCGATCGATTGTACCAGAAGGGAAGTCCGATAATTCAAAAGCCAACACCGTGAGATACCCTCGAAATTACGAGAGATTTTCGCAAGGAAATTCACCGTTGGATAACGAAGCTTGTTTACTATTTGCAGAATGATTCAGGAGCAAACGACTAACCCCGCTGATAAGGGTTGTTGTTCTTGGAGACGAAGCTGTTGCAGCGGTGGTTGCTGCGATCGAATTGGAAATTGCTGCACCGGATCGGACAGTCCGACTCAAAATGAAAAACTTCCAACCAGTTATGGATATGGAGGGTACGGTTACGGTCAACCTTCTATGGGTATGACGATGGAAATTCCTTTTCAAATGACAGGTGAGTGGTTCGATGAAAAAAAACGAACAAACATCCGTGAATTGAAAATTGAACGACTCCTGAATTTTTCCCTTATCAGACGGTTCCGTGGAAAAAGTGCCGTGCGGACGGCAGGAGAAAAAGCTACCCATGTGTTTCGGCGGCGACTGCAAAGATTCCGAAGAGAAATGCGAAAACGATGTAAGCCAGGCACCGAGGCAATCGGAGCGATAGAGGAAGCCGAACTACGAGGATGGAGAGATGGAAAGTGCATCAGCTACGTTTCACCTCGGCTCCGAGGAATCTCTAAGGATCGTAAGAAGCAGCGGAAAAACTTTGGAAACTTCCGAACAAAAGTGTGCGAATCTGCGTGTTTTATGCTCCAACAGAAAATTTCATTCTCGAGACAATGATTGAACGATTAAAAATAAGATTCGAGTTTAGAAGTGTAAGATTAGTGTAGAAACGAAGAACCATTTGTAACTAAAAAAATGACGATGATTGAACAGGGATAAAAGAGAAAAATATCAAGCTATTAGTGTGATCATTTTTGTTCAATAGCAAACGCGAGTTCATTGTTCTTAAAGGATTGACCAAGGTAGAATTAATCATGGCGCAACGTCATCTTCGCTATTCACCGAAATTCGCCTAACTGTGCTCCGATTCATACCCGATTCCATTCATCAATCCAAAAGACCCTCCTATCGACTTGAAAATAAGCCGAAACTGGGCCGAACTGTGCATCAAAGGCCTTACGACATAGTGGGCAGAATGCGTAAAACACGTTTTACCGATGCAGTTTCTTATACCAGGTCTACGGATTCTAGAATCGTTATATTTGATTTTCTAATTCGCTCTTTAGATTCACCGCTGACTCTACGAGACGTTGCTTGGGTTCAACGTCAAGAACCGAGGTGCCATTCAAAACTGCAATTCCAAGAAACGCCTGTCTCTTTTACGTTTCCTTATTTACTCTGTCTGCATTCTGTCGCTACGGATTGAATATGTTCACTGAGCTGTACGAAGGAAACAGGCCAAGGGAAGCTGCAGATTCTCCTATAAAGCCCTATTTGCATTGGTAGCTGGCTAGCGACGAAGTTACTCTATCATGTGTAATAACCGACAGAGTGTACCTCTGAAATTTAGAAAAATCTACTTCCTATTTCTATATTTGTAGAGACGATCATAAATTCTGTTTAACGTTCCAACGTTTATCCGGACTTGAGTTATCCAAATCCAATAATAAAAGGAATCGTAGGAGCAAAGATATCAGGGGGCTTCAAGGGAAGATCCAGGCTTCGATTCCCATTGGGAGCAGTCGGCTATTTTTCACGAACCGTCTGCGTGTATGAAAAAAAAAAAAACACGTGAAATGGATGAACGATTCGGTACGGTGCAAGGTACGCGAAGAAGAGTTTTCGAATAGAGACGAACGATCAGAGGCGAAGGCAGAGAAGAAGTGCGTGATCGTCGGAAGGAAGGAAGGAAGGGCGTCGCGACGGAGGGTGCTGGTTGGTGTTGAACGCGAAGCGCACGCGCCACGGGGAACAGAGGTTTGGGGCCACGCGGCGGCACCAGTCGCTCTTCTCAAACCGCGAAACACGTCCCGGCCTCCTCGAGGACGAGCTTCCAGTTCTATATCCTTCTATCCCTGTTTCTCGCTCTCTCTCCTCTCTTTCGTTCTCTCTGTATTCGTCGCGAGTCATCGTATGACCGTCTTGTGTACGTGTGTCAGGTGAATATTCAGGAACCATCCTGCTCCCTCTTCGTCCCGCCGCGTTTCCGGAAGTCTAAGCTCAAACGGAACCCCGCATAAAATACCCCTGCGAAAACAAGGACGGAGAGCTAGCCTGAATGTTTCTTCGACGAGATTCAGCGGAAACCTGCTGGTTCCTTAGCTGTTCGAGGAGCTGAAATACACCGACGACCTTGGGTATGTTGCGACCGGAAACGGGTGCGCGCACCAGAGTTACGCGGCAATTAACGAGCCTCCCAGTGCTAACGCGCTAAACGGTTAATTGATACTCCTCGAAGGTGAGCTGATTCGTAGAGGATTTCGTGGATGATGGTTGTGTCCGATGGAATGTGAAAGATTTATTAGGTGATTAGTAACCACTCTCTGAATACCACCATTCCGGGTAGTTCACTGATTATTCTTGGCGAATAATGCTCCTTCTTGAATCATTCTGCCCCTCGAAGGCTTCGGTGTGAATCGTGGAAGCTTTTGTAGACGCTGTGACAGTAGCATCCGGTGAAATGTGAAAGAGTTATTGGGTAATAAGTAACGGGACAGCGAGCTGTAACATGCCGGGTGAACCAATTGTTCTTGTTGAAGAATGCTCTCTCTTTAATCATACTCTTTGTTTGATAATGAATCGTGAAAGATTTCTTGGCCTGAAATGTGAAACAGTTATCCCATAAAAATTAGCATGTCTGCGTATACCGACATCTTGGCTGATTAATTAATTTTTCGCTGAATGTACGAGGGAACACTGGTGCACTCTGACCCATAGAAAATTCCGGTGGAATGCAAGACTCGTCTTTGTGTCAAAGGGAGTAGCGTAGGATATGCTTCTCGAAGAAAGCTGCCAGGTAGCCGTCTTCTCGTTAGGGACCAGTTCTGACCTTCGATTCAATTAAGCGTATCCAGTGTGAATCGAGCTTTCGTTACCAGACCACCGCGATTGTTATCATCCTACCGTTAATTACAGGCAAATTGACCGTGCGGATCAAGATCAGTTGCTACTTAGCAACGATCTATTAAGATTTGGATGCTCGTTGATCGTTGAAGACGCTCGATGAAGTACTCGATTTATTCGAGTACTCGAATTTCGAGTCAAACAATGATCGGTCGATCGAGCCGAGTCGCGCGCTCGAATTTGCCGAATTACTCGAAATCGACGAACTGTTCGAAACAAAAGCGAGCTACTTGAATAAATCAAACTACTCGAATATTCGAGCTGAGAATTCATCTTCAAGTAAATCGAAATTTTACGACGTTTCGAATATTCGAGTTTTTGTTTCAAACAGTTCGTCGATTTCGAGTAATTCGGCAAATTCAAGCGCTCGACTCGGCTCGAAAAATCGAAGCCAATTCAGCTCGGCTTGTAAATTCCGAGTACTCGCACACCTCTACTTTTCACTTATCCACTTCGAGACAGCTGCTCATCGTCTGTCAAGAGAATTCGGATTCTAACGATCCCTGCGTTCGTTAAACATTAATTGCTAACGAGCTAGTCGGTTGCCGAACAGTTTGAGGAAGGAATTAAAGTTTCTCGTGGGTGTTGGAGCACGTTTTTCAGCCAACCGACCAACGATACCCTGTAAATTCCTTGGCCGATCGCAACAGCGAAACCTTAATTAAAAACTTCTGTTCGTTCGTTTGCAAATCTTTCGTAATTCGTGACTGAGCTTTGTTTCAGAATAAGAAACCGATAAACGGATCGAAGTTTCTCTTCCGGTGTGCTGCTCCCCCCTCGTACCCTTTCACCCTTCGAAAACTGAATGTTCGAGCGTTAATCCGAGTAAACGGATCAGGCTACGCGGATTCGAATCGATGCCTTGGAAAACCTCCTTAGGGCAAGTCCAATTAAGTCTTCGAACATTGGTACAAAAAGGTCGATCGAGGAGAGACCACCGATATCCTTAGGTATCGTTTCCAAGACTAGATTGCTAAACTTCGTTAACTCAAAACTCTGCTTTCCTTCGCGGAGAATCATCTTCCCTTCACCTCGACGAAGGCTGAAACTTGGTCGTTTCGAGGGAACCAAAGTTCAAACTAAAATTGCTTATTGTCTCCGTTATTCGTTCCATCTTCCCGAAGATTCATCGTGAAATCTTTTCGGCTGAATCTCGTCGACGAATATTCCAAGTTCCTTCGTCAGAATCCTTATTTCCTTTGTCCGCGTTCCGTCTCGATGAAACGAGTGTGTCATAATCGATTCGACGTTGTTCAAGGAAGGACCAAACTCGAGGAAAGTCTCGGAGGAAGAAGAAAAAGAAGGAAAATCGATCCTGAAGAAACTTTCTTCTCCCGAGGTGGTTCTTGTGTACTCCTTTTGGAAGTTCAGTTTCCTATCGAGTTACGTTCGTGAATTATTGACCGCAGGGTGTTAAATACGATCACATGGATGTATATTACGGTAGCAGTAGGGTCAACGTGTTAATTAAGGATCATACATTCGCGGTGGTGACTGCAGTGTTAGCGTTCTCTGTGCTAAGTAAATATCCATTCGAATTGTACGGTATCCACGCTCACGATTACCCCGGACTGAATTATTTTCCGGGATTAATTGTGCGTACTTAATTTGAACCTTGGCTGAAACGATAAATCTGCCGACGCTGGATCCACCTCTTGGGGTTAGGTTCATGCTGAACAGAATCTGCAGGATTCGGATACCAGGTAAGGTTTCATCATCTCCTCTCTTTTTTTTTCTATCTTACGCTTCATTTGAACTATTTTGTGGGGCAGATCGTTCCAATTTTTGGCCATCGACGTTCCAAGGTTAATTAGCATCGCCATTTAAAGCAAGAGCTTAATGTCTCGTTGGTCATTAAATGATTAAGGCAGCTTTTTATTCTAGTCACGTTTCCGTGCAGTTAGGAGCGTTTTCGTCGCGTGATTATAACCGCCGCTGCTTGCAGTAGAATTAGTCGAAAGGGGAGGTTTTCAAAGCACTCGCGTGTCGTTAACCCTGTCAGGTGTGGCAATATCGCGCGACAAACCCCTCTTCCCTCGTTCTGAATGAAAAAGATTCGAGGTATTCCCTTCAATACGCGGGGCGTTCCAAGAATTTCTGGGCTGTCGCAAAGAGAATGAGAAAGTTCATTCTTGGAAGTAGGTGAAATATTCAGCAAATGTAGCACAACCGCTGGTTGCCTTACTTTCATTATTTTTATGAAACTGAGGTGTTCGATTACGAGGAACGTACGAAAAGTTCTGAAAACTGCCTTCTTGTAATTTAAAGACATTGATGAAGTACGATTAACGATTTTTAATGCAAAATATTCCTAATTTAATCCCACCAGTACGGCAAACCAGCACTTTAACTTCAATCTACACTCGAAAAAAAATCTCATCGGGCAAAGTATTTTCCAACTGGAATCGAATCGAATTTGGAAAATTTTCCACGCTATTCCCGAATCGACGTCATTTAAAAGACGCTCTTAACTGGATCGGGTATTGCTCTCAGGATATTGGCCGTTTCTGATCCTCCCTAATGGAACCACGAAAAACGTTTTTTCCCTCGACAAGCTTCGTTATCGATGCCATCGTCGCGGAAAAATCTGAAGAGTCAGCCGCGGGAACGTTTCCACACGCGAAGATTGTAAGAGATAGGAAAATTCGCGGTAGTTGTAGGCTCGCCTTTCGTTTCGGTACTTGAACGTCGATGGAAACCAGGCTTCTCTGCATAATGCACCAACTGAGCTGAGAAAATCGAATTATGCAAAAACAAATTTTTCATCCTGGAATAAATTTAGCCCGGGGACAATACGTGGAGTCTCGACAGCGAGGGGGTTGACTGCGGGAGATCCATCCTTCCTAACGAGATTTCTTCATTTTTTTTCTTTTTCTCCTTCGGTGTGCATTAAACCGTTAAAAGGCGTGATTCTCCGTCGATTATCCTGCGACTAGACTTGTTAAGAAAACCTTGCGAATAACTCAGACCATTCGAGTACTCGCGTAGAAATTTGGCATTGCCGATCCATCTGGCAGCCGTTGAATAAGAACAGTTTCGTTGTTCCAGGGATTTCTCGGTTAACAAGATTTCTCTGGTTTGTCCGATGGATAAAACGTAATACGCGCTAGCTACGGGGAACACTGGCAAGGAAGGATAGAAATTTGGGTCGTGATGGAAGATTTATGCGAGCGATGTGGCTTTTTGAACTGTTAATAATCCGTACCGCCGCGCGTTCAGGCATTCTTGTTTTCTTCTATTTTTCACAAAGATTTATCGCCAGAGAATTTTCAGGGGTGTGTCTGAAAGCTGGAGTATTCGCGAATTGTTTTATAGTCTCCCTCGCTATTAGTATCTCCCAGCTTATAAAGTTAGCGAATGAATTTCGAGTGAATTTTGAAAAATTACCACGATCCCGTGTATGAAATTTCGAACGCGTTTAAATGATTTTACACCGCGTAACAAATCAAACAGTGTAACTTCAGTTCGAAACTTGCCTCGCTTAGTTGACGAATGTTAATTAAGCGTAAACTTACGCATTCAAAGCCCCGGAGGTAGGAAACCTTGAAGGAGTAAGAGTCAGAGCGTAAGGAGAAACGGATCGCGTATAGTCAGACACGCGTTAGCTCAGCCTACCATCAGAACTCGGTGCTGTAATCGAAATAAAACTTACGCGTTGATGCTCGCATTAGCGGCGTCGATCTTAATCAGAAACTTCATAGTCATCTGAACGAGATAAGCTCATTTGCGAAGAAATATTTATCATCCAGTTCTGCGTGTGATGTCGCTAATAATTGAACGGTTGAAACCGAAAAATAGAAAAGCGACGCGATGTGAATTTCATTCGGAACACGGCGGAAAAGGTAATAATTGCCGAAATGATATATTTCAGCTGTTAAAATTGAAGGAGAGAGTGGCAACTTCGTTCTGGTGGAAAACGATGAAAGTGCCAATAATCTTCACGGCTGTAATTCTTTTTTCCAATTTCCTCGGATGACAAAGAAAAAAAGGGATCAGTGCACCATCCTACTACATCTGCGAGGGTGGTCAAAGTTGAAAGGTCGCGACGGTCGAGTGATGAACGATGCGAATGACAGAACGAACAAACGTATTTTCTAGCCTTTCATGATTCATAGCCATTTCGTTATCGTCGATCCGTCAAGTTTTGTTTTCGCGACGATACACGCTCGATTTTCGCGTTTCGTTCGAGATCATCAAAGGGGGTCGCGCGGCGCGGTTGCGCGATAATTTCAAGCTGCACGCACGAATTATACCGTCGCTATCTTATGCTAATGCTGCGGGAAATAAAGTTCCGAAACGAGGTCCTTCGAAGCAGCAGGCAGAAGATTAGAGCGATAAATCAAGCGTTCGCCTTCGCCTACGGAAGTAAACGTTTCCGTCCTCTTCCGCGTGCTCGGTGCAACCGAATGAATCGTGTGATTCCGTTAATTGCCATCCTACAAACGACCTCCCGACTCGAGAATTATTACCTTGTTATTTCGTTTCACGACCTCAGGATCGTTGCTGTCCCGATCACTGCGCTGTGACTTTCAAACACGTCCATTCTTACACCGTTCCATTACGCGAATGCGAAACGGTTCATTGTTTCCGGTACAAAGCAGCCGAATAGGGGAAACAACAGATGAAGTAACGAACCGTGGATTGCCAAGTTACACCGCAATGTTTGTTAACAGCAATTATCCTTGATTATGTGCAGCAAATGGAAAATGACGGTGGTACGCAGCTACTTTCGGGGAAATTGAATGCAAACAGTGCTGTTTGTAAATAGTTGCAAATGTTTTCCTTTAAAATTATCTATTAACTATCATGTCATCACTTGTGCGACGATACGTAGGTATTCTCTTCTTTTTAAGGTATTCGATATTTTATCAAAAATTCTCCACGGTCACGTTTCGTTGCATGAAACACGAAGACCAGAGGAAGTGGAAAGTCTAGTTTCCGGTTGATTCTTCTCGATAATCGTCTCGTAAAGTCGCTGCTCGGACACGAACCTGCGCGGATTTACGAACGAAACTCTGTATCATCTGCATCGAGGCGAACGGAAACTCCAGCCACTTGTTTCGATTCCGTTCCTTTTTTATTTTTTCTTGCATTTTTCATCGATAAAATGCGCACGCGGTAAAACGATGAAGCATAGCCAACAACGTTACAAAACGTATTCATCTATTCCGTTGTTTCTTTTTATCGGAATTCGTATTTCATTATTCTACAGGAGTGGGAACCCGATATGTTGCAGGGATCGCGAGCAAACTATGATCTGAACTATTTTCTGGCCTAGCTCGATGCTTTTGTTTGCGAACCATTAATATTTCCTTTTTCTTCCATTTGCATTTACGAGGTGTTCCTTTTAGGGGATGTCGAAGAAAGTTGCGGTTGTCAAACGCGTACTCTTCGAAACAAACAGAGAAGTTATCCCACCGCGAAAGAGTTAACAAGTTTCCGGTAATTAACACTAGATTTCCCGACAAATAGATTCGTTAAAATAGGTATAGCAATTATGGATTTTTGGAACTAAGGAATGGGAGGGGAAGGAATTAGTATTCATATACATTTCATAATTCTATTAAAAACTAACACATATTTAAAAAAAAATTATTCAAGTTTTTCTATAATAGCAATAAAATCGTAAATGAGTCAAATTGACTCGCTCCGGCAATCTATTGTTAAAGTGTAAATGTCCGAGAAAAGTAGGTTCTACCGGCAGACGATTCAGATAAGAAAGTCGTGACGTTGAAAAATGGGAATTTAATTTCACGGCGAAGCACAGGTGAATACCTGGAATTCGCGTTCGGAAGATTGAGCTAGAAAGAATATGGATCGAAAGACGATCGAGCTAGCTCGGCCAGGCGTAAGCTGGCAATCGAGCCCCGACAACTAGGAAGATATTGTCTGAAAAGCAGGTGTCGAACGTGAAATCGAGCGAAACGGGACTGCGTCGAATGTAACGATTCCGTCTCGTGAAATTGTCTGGCTAGAATACTATCAGAATTCTTATCCTGTGCTCACTTTTGAGAAGCCAGAGATCCGAGCGACGTCGCTTTCAATTTTTCGACAGATAACGAAACGCTTGCACGCCACGTCGATTCGGTGCATGTGTTAAAAAAAAAAAAAAGAAAATACTTGAAAATAGGAAGGGCGAAAAGAAAATAAATCCGCGGGCCGAGTGTTGGATATAAAATCGTTTAAAATGCAACGGAAGCTCGCTTCTTCGACGCTGAAACAATGCCGCGGCACGCGTACACGCCGGTGTCAGTTTCTATGGCTCACAGGAATATTGTTTATCGCATTAATATTCACGCGAGTGCTCGCGTCAGATTTACGGTTGCCGTTCTCTGCCAACTTTTCGACAATGTTTACCGCGGCACATCGATTTCCAAGCGTTAAAGCTCACAGGATGCTCCGATGGACGGATACGTATAGAGCTCGGCAGAAAACAAATAAATAAATTAAGCGAATAGGGAGAATTGATTGGACCGTGTCGATATTTTCCAATGTACCGTAGAAACGTTTTTTGTGGCCACCAATGATCGTTGCAAAGAAAAGTCAATACGATCGGATCGGTTGGAAATTTAATTCAATTACCAGCATTGTTCGCGTGCTTAACCCTTTCCACGTTTCGATTGTATTTCTGAGCGTTTCATTCTCCCTTCGTGGCGCAGAGAAAATATAATGAAAGTTCTCTATTAATAAACTGAGATTTCTG